GCTGTTAGCTCAGGACGTTACTCTCGGGTGCGGATAGTTTTTCGTGAGGAATTCGCCTCGAGAGGCAAGTTTCTCACTGTGTGCGGATGGTTTTCGGGCTGAGTTAACTGCCTTGCGAGGTCCTTTGCTCAGCTGATAGCTCTCGTGTTGGGCGGGCTTTAATTAAATCGCGGTAGCTTTATTTAAACACGTGAGTGTACTGCATATGTTAATTTTATGGGATCGGATAAGGTGAACAATAAGCAAACAAGAGAAAAGTGAACAAAATAAGCCTCGTTTAATACTCGCGTGATTGATATTTATATATTTTTATATATAGGCTTATATAGCTATATTGACACGCACAACCAAATTGCCTCAAAATCGTAAATTTACTTTTAACAAAAATATTATCGCGAACTATATTAGCTATATACTTATATTGATAACTATAAGGAAGTGTATAATCAAATAGCATTAATTTCAAAGCGGATTTTGAGCTTTTATCGCTTTTATATGGACTTTGGAGCTTTATCTTTGAAGTAGCTGCATAATATAATCCAGGATACCAATTGAATTTTATGCCAACTTGAAGCTGTGATTAATTCGAAAGTCAAAACTGATTTGCAGTACTCACTCTTATGTCCCGTGATAGTCATGTGAACTTCTTGTTGACGTTATAACATGGTGTCAACAGTTTGTATTTTAAAACTCTCCCAACGCAGGCCAAAGGTTGTTTATTTTACGGCGCAGACTGTTTATGCGGTGTATTTGATTGCAAAGTTGTTACTTGTTTGATCATCGAAGACTCTGGTTAATATATTAGTAAATAGCTATGGTGTATAGTTTATTTTTTATTATTCTGAATTTTTTTTATCATTTGGTTAAAACTAGCTATAAATTATATTCAGCTGTCGTTGGAATTATGCCACAAGGACTATTATCTCAGGAATGCAGAGTATATATAAAAATGATTTACAGTCGGCATGTGATATATTTGCGACTTTGGAAATTCAAATGACATCTGTTTGTTAACCATGGTTGTTTACCATGCATTTACAAAAATGAAAGTATAAAAACTAAATGAAAGTATAAAATGAAAGTATAAAAACTAAACAGATATACCTAAATATATTTGCATTCATGCATGGTCAGCTTATAAACGAAAATTTTCCGTAATGAACTAATTTGTTTAAGGTTTTTCGCTTAGTTTACGGACTGGAACTTTTCAAGCGATCAATATTGCTGCATTCATGATTTCATCAACTTCATGGACTAGTTCAGGTTTATAATTGCATTCATTCAAAAATCTACTCTGTCCATGCATAAAATTACGATTTCTTCAAAAACTCGGCTGCATTCCTTACGAGTTACGACTTCGCTTTAGGCAAAACATATATATATATTAATTACACATGCATGCAAGTTGTCTTCGTCAATGTCTAGAAGAATATCTTTGTGATAGCTATATTAAAAACTTTGTTACAGCCAACACAAACATAACCGCATAGCTCCTCTTATTTTAAATTTATATTGATTTCCGGTCTTAGCGCTATTAATGGAATGTGCATATTTCCTCTGGGTTATCGAAACGAAATTTTAGTGTGCCAAGTTTTAGCGAACACCCAACGATATAAACAAGTTTATTACAAGAGTTCGGATTTCACAGCTGCTTTGAATAGTGTTAAACCGGACAGGGGTGTTCTAGAAGCACTTTCGACTATATATAAGACCGCTCCTATATACGATATCCCTAATTCCTAAATATCAAAAGTGAATTGCTACCCGTGAATTATAGCTATACGTAGATACATGAATAGGTGATTAGCGGCTTAACTTTGGACGTGAGAGACTGCTTTCCGAGATTTCGTCATTGCGGTGAAACTCTTTCAAACCCAACTTCCTAAACGGTTAAAAACTATAGTCAAATACTCAAGTCATTCAGTTTCGCATGTTCCAGAAGCATGAGGACTAGCACATACATTGTGTAAAAGAGCTTTCTCACGTCTGCATATATAGAATAGAGAAGCGAGCGGTAGCGACCACCTAAAATTTGCCTAAATGCATTCATGGACGTTTTTCATATTTTTGATTATGAAATACAATCATTCCTATTAAATCAATTAATAAAATAGCTTCTTAAATCTTACATCTACTTGATCATGTCGAAGGATGTCGAAAAAATCTGAAATTTCATATCATCTTCACTACGTTGAAAACTATAAATATAGGTACATTAGCTAGGCTTTATCACAAGCACTCAAACCTTATAATATTTCTTATATTTGGAGTAACTTGTTTTGCAATTAGCCTAGCAACCAAGGCAAATCAGTATAACCGACCTAGTAATAGCTATATATTTTTCAGTACTTTGTATATTATATACACAGTTTATATAAATTCACGCGGCTAGCCTAAGTTTGACGCGTACCGTATGCAAATTTTACGGGAAGTAGAATGTTAATTTTGTCTGAACTTCTGGCTGTGTTTAATTTGTTAAATGGCTCCGAATGTAAACTCTTTGTCTCAAACATGAAACCCACCCTCAGGAAGATTGAACTCTTTGCATCATTGTTCGTAAATATGTTCGCAATATACATATAATACAGCGTGCCTGCGATCGGGCTACTGTGCTCTTTGGAACCTTGTAACGGTGACTTTATTTTTTTTCGGTGGCGTGATGATAATTATGTTTGTTAGAAATTTTTGAATAACGATAGAATACAGGGTTAAAAGTATAGATGTATCTGCTAAAAAATCCCAAGCATTTGCAGAAATATTTGTACTATTTCTATTCTTAGTGTTTCATTGCGTCGGTCGATATTAATTTGAATAGAATTAGCTTAGTTTAGCTGCGAAATATTGCAAAACTGGCGGGAAGCAAAGCTCTTTGAAGTTGTATCTCGTATTACGCGCTTAGAGCATTTCGTAAACATAGCGCAATCTCGCAAGCCAGGCTTTTCTGCCTACGCTCCACGGCCCAAAAAATTGGTGACTGCATTTTTCGTGCTGGGCGGATGTAAATAACGATATACTTGAATGCATAGCTATTGGAATACTCTAAAGTTTCAAGAACTCTGTATTGTTCATATAATTCTCGGGAAATTTTCGGCTAACTTGTGCTGAGATTATTCTCCTCCCCATAAAAAACAAGTCTATATATATATGTCGGTGTTTTTAGGGGGGTCTGTACTGAAATAAAACGCCATTGCCACTTCACACTTCGTTTAATTACTCTGTCGTGTAAATACACCCACTCAACGTATCTCCACAAGCTTATTTTGGTTTCAAAGGCGTAAATACCTGTGCACCCCATGTGGCTTCCGGGAATACCCTCACGAAAGACCATATGACAGCTCTACATAATAGACCTTTTCAGCTTGCATGCAAATTAACCCATTTCAGATGTTGTTACCATGGAATAGCCAGTAAAACTTTGCTATTTCAGACCACGTGACTTGAAATGGTTAATAATTTGCATACAAGCTGAAGTCGACTTCCACGCCAACGAGAACTATTCCAACACTTCCTTGGATTACCAATATGACAAATCGCGGATAAACACACACAAATATGGAAACAAATTAAGGTAAGCATTATAGATTATAACACACGGTCAATTATTCAGCTACTTGATTAAAGTGGCACATATTATTTCATGCACGGAAAATTGTTTACACTGCAATTATGCGAATGTTTTGCGAAATGTTATTGCTGAGCCACAGACCCACAGGCTAAATTTAGTTGCTTATAAATTTTGTTTTCACCGCCCCTTCAAGATTATATAATTGCCGTAAGCTATAGTGAAAAAATAGAAAATAAACATGCATTTTACAAGCCATACGAATCGGTAATGTGAGTAACTTGGTTTCATACTTCAATACCAGAGGTTAATGTGTAGCGCTGACCTGCAATATTTCACACACTGTGCCTGTGGTATGGAATTTAGCTGAAGTACATGCTTTCAAGAGCATTATAACGAAAGTTTTTGTACTAGTATATTAAAATCACATCAATAAGAAAGATCTCTTTGACTCTGTTTCGAAATATATCGTTCAATATAACTTTGGCATAAACATTTACCAGGAACTGTTCCCATAATTCTGTTGTAATATATAACCCCTGGATACTTGTGTTAATTTCATCGAACTGTCAAACTAATATCGTATTCGGTTACATTAGTCTGATTGTACGACGGGAAATTGCATTTCGTTCGTGCAGGAAAAAACATTTATGCAAAGGAGTGTTTCAGCCGTATCGTTTTCCTGTCCCATACATAAAAATACATCTCAACTCAATGGACCACTTGTATAAGAGACCAACTTATGATCTAGGTAACAAGAAGGAAATAAATCACCACAGCTAAAAAGAGCATACTGAAATTAGTATAACTGCCAAGTTTCGCTGCAAAATGTATAGTAGTACGGAAGATTATATATAGCCATGCGAAGTGAGCATTTTTTGTATACTTTTGTATTACGGGCAGAATTTCCGGCCATAATACAAAAGTATATAAGATTTGCTATATCTTGGCTATATCTTTAGTACTTTACAATATTTCGCAGCCAAACTTGGCAATTTTACAAAGTTTAATATGTTCTTTTCGGGAATTTTCTTCTTGTCGCCTGAATCAAAAGTTGGTCTATTATGCATGTGGTCCATTTGACGTCCTGAGAACCGTGTGCAGGTGATGTATTTAACGAAAGCCCGATTGGCTGGTTAGTTTTGCGAAGCCAATCAAAATTCGTGTAGCATCATGCTTCTCGTTTTTGACGTCATTATGAGTTCAGCACAGAATTCTGGTCTTGTTTTCGATAGATATTGTTGCTTTATCCAGTTTATTAATAGATCAGCGATTAAGCCCAGTCGTTAACTGTGACGACGCATCAGTTACCTCTGATTTTCATACAGGTTATCAAGTTGAGAAGCTCTTGAAGTCATCGAGGATATAAACAATGCGACCTTCCTTCCAGCTAGTCGTTTTAGTCGTGAGTTTTCTATTGTATCTTGTCGATCTCGGAATGGATGTTTACGTCGCAATTCGACACTTTGAGAATGGGGACGAGCTTTTTTTTGGAATCACGGTGACCGTAATCATTCTGTCCAGCATCCTCGTGAATATTTACGCGACGACCACCTTAAAGAAAACAAAGTGGAATGTGCGTCGTTTCCTGTGCGTCAGCCATTTTTCTATGATTTACCTTTTCATTAAGGAAATCTTCCGTTGGTTCGAAGAAAAACGGCCAGAAATCGCTCATCCTTGCGGTGGTGAAAAACATTTTTCTGTTTGTGACTGCTCTCAATGCAAGGAACAACTGGAGCAAAGTGTCGAAGCGTCTCTTGGAATGTCCCACACGCGTTCCATGGAAACCTTCATTGAGTCCGTACCACAATTTCTTCTCCAAGTTTATATAATGGTTTACAAGGATTCCTATCCTTGGTACACCATCGTATCGGCAGCATTCTCGTTTATATCATTGGTTTTTAGCGTCTACATGCTCGAGAAAAATTACTGGATTAAAAAACTGATCACAGACCGCCCCGACTACCTGAAACCGATAACCTTCTAGAATGTATCCGCAGTTATCTTCGTATTATGGCAATCGTTCCTCCTGTTAGCCAGGCTCTCGGCGATCATCCTAAATATAATTGTATTTAGCGGTTCAATTGGTATAATTATCTGCATTCACTGCATGGGTAGTTGTGATGCTGGCTTTGCTTTGCTCTGTAGCAAGTTGTGAAAGCTTTCGTGGTTTTTGCTGCGAATTCTTGATGATACTTTTGCTATCATTTGTGATCATTTATCCGCTGCTTTTCCACGTCTCCCACTCAACTGTCGCGTGTTTGAAGAAATTTATCCCAGGTACAGACGACATATCAAAAATATTTAAAATTGTTGCTGTAATAATGGTTCCTTTGCTATTCTTCGTGTTCCATGTTGTCGGCGGCGTCGTCGCGATCGTAATGCAGGGACGAGAGGAATTGCTTGGATGGTATGTAGGTATTGGTACCATGTACGTCGTCGCATTTGTTTTTGAAGTGATTTATTACAAGTGTTTACGGCTGATAGACAAAGAGCATCATCAGCACGCTGATACACATAGAATGCAATTGAAAATGCTTGCCCAATACTAAACGCTAACACTGCCTTCCACTTCAAGCAGTCATGGCCTGACTTTGGTTGGTGGCCAAAATCTAACTGTATGGGACCGATTGTATGAAAGCTGGATAGCGTGGTCGACAGGATAGAAAAAACAAGTTATTTTAAGAAAAAAAAGAGCTCTTGCCACCAAAGTTAGTGATAGAAATAGAGTAGAAACACACACCATCTATAGCTTTTTATTTTTTTAATCGTATAATTTTGCAAAATTTGATATAGCCCATCGAGTGATTTTTAATTAGCACTATTCCCTCAAATATTAATAACACAATCATGTAACTGCATTTTATCACAGTTATCCTGGTCTCTTTTATCTATCTTACTTTACTAATAACTTGACGAATACATGAAAATGGTTTTAGTACATTATTCATACAAGCCGGGCGTCCAAACTGGCGCACAAGACTGTTTGATTTCCCAAAGCGCAAAAACTACAATTTTGTCCTCATCATTCAGTGGAAACTGAATCAGGAGATCCTTGAGTCTTCTTTGTCAATCCTTCTTTCTCTAAAATATTCAAAGATCCACGAAGGAACTTAATTTCAGCCTTGTCGTTCGAGGATTGCTTCTTCCACCTATTAACTTCAGAATTTTTTTCACTTAGAATTTTTTCAGCCTTTTCCTTTTCGCTGGTAACGGCAGTCAAATTAACCCGCAGCTTTTCGAGTTCCCTCGTTTGATTTTCGTGTTTCCTCTCGATGGAAATCAAAGTTTTTTTCAACTCAAGGATTTCGTTCTTATTGGCTGTTTCAGTCTTTTCAAACCGTTGAGAATCCACTTTATAACGGTTTTTTAACGAGCTCAGTGTAGTCTTAAGCTCGTTGACCTCCCGTTGATGTCTCTCATGAGTTGAAGTTAATTTTAATTCCAGGATCTTCTTGTCTTCATTCAGAACATTTATCTCTTCCTTCGCTTGCTTTCCGTCCGCCTTTTGCGATTCTTTCCCTTTTAACAACCTAAAACATTCAATCAGTTAAATTTCATTTAAAATCAAAAGTAACTTGCATGTTTGCGCTGTTTACTTATAATAAAAGGCTTACAAGTTTACAAATTTGAGAGCAAGCAAAACTTACAAGCATACATTGCTTATTGTTACGTTTCTAAATGAATATAAACTATTGTTATATAGGTGCTGTGTATTTTAAATGTGATTGGTTCATTCGTAGTCACATGAATTTGAATAAATGCAATGTTTCCCGCCAGGGAAACAAGTGAAAAATTGTTGCCCACTTCTTGTCATAACAAAGTAAAAAGTGGGTTTCTTTTTTAAATGTTTTTATTCCTATATAACAAAACACTTAATGTACACTACCTCGGGAAATGGTGAGTCTTGTTTTCCCTCGAGTCTCAATGTTTCCCTCGACTTCGTCTCGGGAAATATATTCAGACTCTCAGGAAAACAAAACTCAATATTTCCCTCGGGAGCATACATTAAGTGTATAGTGTTAGAAAGTTTCAGAGAAATTCGAAATATGCGAAATTTGGTCAATTTTGTATCAGAAGACCACAGGTTGTTATGAGCAGAGCCAACGCATAGAATTGACTTGACATCCATTTTGATGATTGTTTGAAAGATATTGTACCATGACTAACCTTAATTCGTCTTCCAATGTTTCAATCCTGTTAATATATCCCTCCATATCCCTCTTCTTCTTCTTATTCAAACTATCAAGATCCATCAACAACCCATCTCTCTCAGTCTTGATTTCCAACATCTTCTTTCGTGCAGTTTCCAATTGAGCCTCGCTCTCTTTTTCGTTTCTCATAAATCTTTCAACTTTCTCTTTTAAGTTCTTAATCTCAAACTCGTGAATCTCATGTTGCTTCTTCTCTTCAGCTAACTTCGCGCGCAAATCTTTGAGCTTCTTCCTTAAAGTAACGTTGGATGATTTTCCACTGTCCAAACCTTCACCATCTCCGTTTTCCTGTTGTTTCAATTGCTGCACCAAAGCAATATTCTCACGTTTCGCTGCTTGAAAATCTTTTTCTAACGATTCCAAACGTTTCCTAGTTTCACCAAGAGAAGAATTTAGGCTCGTCTTTTCCATTGTTATACTTCGATTCTTTTCTTCCAGGTATTTTGTTTTCACCTCAAGTTCTTTAGCTTTCCCATAAAGCTTTTCCTGTTCTTGTTTATATTGATTTTCCCGCTTGACTAGCTCATCCAGTCGTGTTTTGTGAAGTTTAATTTCATCCTGGGTTTGTTCATAAGCGCTTTCCACAGTGGCCAGGGTCACTTTCAACGAACTTATTTGCATGATCAATTCTGAGTTTTCCTTTTCAATTTTCTCGTTGCTGTTCTGAAGTTCATTGGTCGTTGTTCGCAAGCGAACTAACTCGGTATTGAGGAGTTCCTGGCCTTCTTTCTTTCTTGTCGCTGAGTCTTGCAATCTCCTCGAGAAGTGTCAACTTTCCTTTTGTCAACTCGTCTGTTATTTCTTTCAAACAAAAAACATCCATCTCCAGCTTTATCTTCTCTTCAGAGTCTTGTTCAAGTCTCGTTTGAAGATCTTGAAGCTCTTTCTCCAAACCAAGCTTGACTTTCGACGTTTCTTGGATATCTGCCATAAGAACTCGCAACTGTTCCTGACTTTGCTCAATGCTGATTTTAGCAGACTTTTCAGACTTCTTCTTTTCTGAATTCTGACGCTCAATAGATAACTCGTTTCTTAACCGACTCAATTCATACCCTAAATCATTAATTTGATTTAAAGCAGCCATTTCCTTTGTTCGAAAGACGTTACAACATTTCGCAAACTTGTAAGTTCGTTCTCAGACTTTTCACGTGCGTTGTCAGCATCTATCTTTACCCCGCTTATCTCAAGCACCTTGCTGTTAAGGTTCAAAATTTCTTCTTCCATTTTGGTAATCGTATTTTTTAATTCATTTGCTTCATCTCGAAGTTGTTTGATTTCAAAATCTTTGCGATGCAACTCGTTTTCTTTCGAGCCAAATTGCTCTTCCAACGTTTGCAACTTGCTCTCAAACTCAGATCTTAGATTTTTCATATCCTTCTCTTTATCAAAAGCCCAACGCTTCTCAGAATTTTTCTTTTGTTCTTCAAATGCCATCAACATCTCCCTAAGCTGTGCACTAGCCTTTTCCTTCTCATCTCGTAGTGTCTCAACTTCCACCTTCCTTCGTTCGCATTCACATTCAAGTTCTTCCAAATCCTTTCTTAGAATCACTTTCTCACTTTCAAGATTTTGCACCATCACCTTCCACGACTCGATTTCCTTGTTAAATAACATAATATTCTCCTGGATCTTGTTATCACTTTCTTTTTTCGATTTATGCATATCTCTGACACTACCTTCCAAATCTTGCTTCTCGAATCGAATTTTTTCCATGTCATCTTTAAGAAGGGCTGTTTTTTCTTCCAAGGAGCGAAACCTTTCCTTCCACGAGTCAATCTCACAAAGATACCCGGAAACAACCCTATCGAATTCGTCTTCGTCCCGTTTCGCCTTCTCATTGATCTCTTTGACTCGATTTTCAACATTTCCCTTTTCTATTGTCATATTTTGTAAATCATTTTTTAAGCGATTGATCTCCTCACTGTATCTCTCGTTTTTCAGAGTGTACTGCGAGATATTTTCATTAAGTTCTTGCTGATTATTTTCCAGAAGTTTCTTTTCGTCTTGGTGAAAACGAAGAGTCTCTTTCATTGATAACAATTCTTCTTCCAGTTTCTGTATTTTGATTTCAACAGATCGTTTTTCATTTAAAGCTTGATTAACATTATTTCTAAGTGAAATTACTTCTTCTCTACTGTCATTTACTTCATTTTCAAGATTGTATTTCTCGTTTTCGAGTGTTTCAATATTTTCTATTAGTGCTGAAAACCTCTGTTGTTTTTCAATGTTTTGGTTTGCAAGAGCTTCCATCTCCCCTTGAAGATCGAACACTCTTGTCGTCAAAGACAAAGCCTCTTCATCACGTTTTGTGATATCATCTTCAAATGCCTTTTTCTCATTTTGAAGTTCTTCAACAATGACCTTTAAACTGGAGAATTCTTTATTTTGTTCAGTAAAGCTGTTTTCGAAAGATTCTTTCTCGCTTTGAAGCTCAAGGAACTTTTCCTTTAATAACGAGATTTCATTATACCGTTTTACAATATTTTCCTCGAGAAGCAGTTTTTCAGTCCCAAGCGTTTCCAAATTAATTTTCGAGTTAGAGAGTTCTTTAGTTTTTGCAACCAAATGATCTTCAAGGGCTTTATTTTTCTCTTCAAGTCCAGCTGCATTTGCCTCTTGTAGAGAGCATTCTCTTTCCTTTTTTCAACAACGTCTTCTTCAATCACTTTTCTTTCATACTGAAGATTTTCCACCGTCTTCATAATAGACGATAGCTCATTATCTTTCTTCTCAAGTTCAGATTTGCAGGATTCATTTTCATCCTTTAGCTTTGAGAGTTTTGATTCGATGAGCTGCATTTCACTACCACGTTCCATTAAATTGTTTTCAAGGGCAATTTTTTCGTTGCAAAGTTTTTCCATAGTTACATCATTAGCAGAGAGATTTTCATCCCTGCTTAATAGGTCGTTTTGCAAAGATTGTTTCTCTTGTTGAAGCTTACAACACGCCTCTTTTAACAATGAGATTTCACTCTCATATTCCGTAGTTTTGTTTTCAAGAGTGTTTGTGTGCATTTCTAAATTTTGGATGGTTTCTTTACATGAATAAAGCTCGTCATCTCGCTGGCAAATGTCATTTGTAAGCACTCCTTTCTCTTCTTTAAGCTCTGCTAATTTCTTTTCAAGCAACATAACTTCATTGTCTAGATTACTATTGTTCTCTTGAAACGCATTTTTCTCGTTTTGAATATCTTCAATTGTTAGTTTGAGAATACACAATTCTTCATCTTTTTCAGAAATATCACTCGCAAGAAGTTCCTTGTCTTTCTCGAGTTCAACGAGTGTTATCTCGAGTAATGAAATTTCTTTGTTTCTGTTAGAATCGTTTTCCGCATTTGCTCTCTTCTCATTTTGCAAGTTTTCTAAAGTTATCTTCATCTGTAATAGTTCCTCATCTTTTGAGGCGATATTACATGAAAGAAACTCTTTTTCATTCTTGAGCTGAAGTAATGTTGTTTCAAGCAAAGATATCTCATTATTTCGGGTAAAGTTGTTTTCTTCGAAGGCGCTCTTTTCAAGTTGAAGCTTCTCAATGGTTTCCTTCATAACATTCAGCACTTCATCTGTCTTTTCTAGTTTATCTATAAGAGTTTCCTTTTCTGGCCAAAGTTGATCTAATGTTGACTTGAGTAAAGCTATTTCGTTGCCTCGACTGTAATTATGTTCTTCGCTTACTTTCAATTCGATGTGAAGGTTTTCCACACTTTTATTCGTAAGATACAGCTCTTCGTCTTTTCTTAAAATGTCACCAGAAAGGGATTCCTTTTCCTTGTTCAGCTGGACTATTGTTTCTTTAAGCGAAGATATTTCGCAATCTCGATTTGAACAATTTTCATCAAGGGCAATCTTTTCATTGTTGAAGATTTTGGAAAGTCGATTTTAAAACAGAAAGCTCTTCATCTTTTTTAACAACATCCTTGGAAATATCTTTTATGTCTTTTTCCAGTTTTTCAATGTTATTTTCTTGTAAAGATATTTGCCCATCACGCTCTGTAATTTCTTTTTCATGCGATACTTGAAGCTGTTCAAAGCTTATTTTTAGAGCAGAAAGTGTTTCTTCTTTAATAGTCATCTCTTTGATACAAGTATCCTTTTCTTCCTCAAGTTTGGCTATACTTTCCTCTTGCAGTGATATGTGACTATCACGTTTTGCGATGTCTTCTTCCAGAACATTTTTCTCTTCTCGAACTTGTTGATCAGATGCTTTCATAAGAGAAAGTTCATAATCTCTCGCAGCAATGTCCTGCTCAAGTCTTTCTACCCTCGTTGTTTGCAAAGAAATTTCACCTTCACGTTCTGTAATATCATGAACAAAAACTTGATTTAGTTCTTCTAGCTTTGAAACAGTTAATTTCAGGAAGGATAATTCTTCATCTTTCGTGGCAATGTTACCAACAAGGCTTGCCATGCTTGCTTCCTGTAAGGATTTGTTTGTTTCACGCTTTACGATTCCATCTTCAAGAGCTTTCTTCTCTTTTTGTAGCTCTTCAAGAGTTATTTCATGATGGACAGTTCTTCATCTTTCTGTTCATTTTTATCAAGAAGATTGACGATACTTGCTTCTTGCAAAGATTTATCAGTATCAAGATTAACGATTTTATCTTCAAGTGCTTTCTTTTCATTTTGTAATTTTAGCAAAGTTACTTTCAAAGCAGATAACTCTTCATCTTTCTTGGAAAGATGATTAACAAGATTGGCCATACTTGCTTCGTGCAAAGATTTATCAGCATCACGTTCGACAAGCCCTTCCTCCAGTGCTTTTCTTTCATATTGTAATTTCTTCACTGTTCCTTTCATGACAGACAACTCTTCCTCAATTCTTGCAATTTCATTAGGATGAGATTCGTTTTCTTTCTCTACCCTGACAAGGCTTGCTTCTCTTAAGGAAATATCACTTTCTAGCGCCTTTTTTTCTTGCAGAAGTCTCGTAACATTAAGGTTTTTAACAGACAGTTCCTCGTCTTTTCCGGCAATGTCCTTTGAAAGCGATTCTTTTTGTGTTTCAAATCTAGAAATGCTCGCCTCTTGCATGGAAATATGACTATCACGTTGTACAATGACTTCTTGAAGAACATTATTCCTTTCCTGAAGTTTTTCTATACTGATTTTGATCAGGGATAGTTCTTCCACTTTTAAAGCAATATTGCTAACAAGAGATTCATTTTCATTCTTAATTTGAAGCACTTCTGACTGTAGCAATTGCATCTCGTGATGACATTTCAAGACATTCTCCTCCAGAAGTTTCTTGTCGTCTTGAAGTTTTGCTATACTCGACCGTAATTCTGTTATTTCTTCCTTTTGTTTACAATCATTCTGCTTGGAGGAATAATTTTTTTCCATAAGACTGGCGACTTCTTGGTTCAGTGAAAATATTTGATCTTCCTGTTTTCTGACACCATCTTCAAGATCTTTATTTTCAACGCGTAGTTTATTCATCGTCATCTTAAAGGATGAAAGTTCTTCATCTTGCTGGGTAAAGGTGTTTACAAAAGATACTTTCTCTGTTTCCATTTCATCAACTTTTGTCTGAACTACGGACATCTCCTTGCTCAATATTATATTCCTTCCCTCCAATGATGCCTTCTCTTCTTCTAATTTTTGAACTCTTATGTTTATCTCAGTAAGCTTTTCATTTTCCCCAGCTATACCAACAGTAAGATCTTCTCGTTCTTCTTGTAACTGAGACACAGTTCGTTTTAGCAGAGCCTTTTCATCTTGAAGCAGTTTCTTTTCATTCTGAAGTTCGTCAACATTCTCTATCATCGAGGACAAAGATTCATCTCTTTCTTGCACAGTTGTTTCTAAAGCCCTCTTATCTTCCTCAAGATTCATTAAATTTGTGGTGAAATTTATAATTTGGTGTTTGCAATTGAGCAGGTTCTCGTCAGACACATTTTTCTCATTTTCAAGAATTTCCATCGCAATTTTAAAAGAACCAATCTCTTCTTTCTGCTTTTCATTATCAATCTCAAGGGCTTTCTTTAAATTTTCGAGCTCAATAACTGTCAACTTTAGTAAAGAGAGTTCTTCATCACGTTTCAAAATCTCACATTCGAAATTCTTCTTATTTTCTTCAGCTCTAGTACAATAATACTCATCTTTGTCCACCATACTTTCGCGTTCTTCACAAGCACATACTTTTATACGTTGCAATTCGTCTTGCAATGTTATAACCATGTCCGTCAACTCTTTCTCTCTTGACACCAAATAATTCTTTTCGATTTTTAAGTCTTCAAATTTCTTCTCTATCGCCAAGAGCGCATCAGTTAGTTTCACAATCTTATTTTCCAATTGGCTCTCGTTGAAGGAACAGACCTTAACACGTTCCAACTCTTCCTGAAGATAATTGCATTTTGTTTCCAGATTATGTTTAGCAAAATTTAAATGTTCTATAGTTTGTTTATCCATTGAGATTGTATTTTCAATTAATGTAGATTTTTCCTTAAGATATTTGACGTCTGCTTCCAACGTTTGCCTTTCGTTGAATGAAAGAACTTTGATGCGTTGTATCTCATCTACGGAACTGACAATTTGTGTTTCTAACAAACCATTTTGAATTTTAAGCCTCTCATTTTCAAACTCTAAGGCAAGAAGTGTTTCCTGAATTCTTGCATCGCTTCTTTCACCAATCAATTGTTTCTCCTTAATTTCACTTTGCAGCTGCACTATTGTGGCTTGCAAATGTTCAATTGTGTTCTCTAGAGTCTGTTTTTGTTTAGAAATAGAGTCTTCAAGATCTTTAACCTTTCCTACCAAAAGTTCCTTTTCCAAAATTAAATCTTGTTTTCTTTCTTCCAAAAGTGAAATACTCTCTTGGGACTTTCTCTCTATGTCTTGGTATCGCTTTCTCTCTTTAAGGAGTTCCTCGTTTTCCTTTCTGATTAGCGATATCGTAACTTCTTTCGCCTGATTCTCAAAAGAAAACGTTTCTTTAAGCGCTATAATGTCATTCTGCAACTTTTTATTGCTATCTTCTACTTTTTGTTTCTCGTTTGACAAACCTTTCATACTTTGCTGGTTTTCTTCACTCAACGAATGGATTTTATTCTTAAGTTCTTCGATTACTGTTGAAGAATTATCTTTATTAAAATTCAAATCTTGAATTTCTTTTTCCATGATCATTACTTTCTCTTGAAGCTGTTCTTTAGCAATAAGAAAATGATTTCTTTCGTTTTTCAAAATATCTGTGTTTGTTTCATGATCTGCCTTTAGCTTGCAAGTCAAATCCTCATTTGTTACTTTCTCAAAGACTAAGGCTTTTTCTAAAGTAGTAATGTTTGTTTCAAGATTGATAATCACATTTTCCAAACGTTTCTTTTCTTCTAGAACTGAGAACATATTAAGCTCGTGATTCTTTATCAAACCCTCGCTTATTTCTTTCATCTTCTGGTTTTTCGAAAGCGCTTCGCCGTTCTCAATTTTCAGTTTTTTATTCTCATTTTCTATGTCCACAATCACACACTCAAGTTTCCTGGTGGTTTCCTCGTGTTTCAGTTTTTCATCTTCGATAAAAATTTTAGATTTTTGTGTTTCACTGTCGAGCATACGAGTTTGTTGTTCTAGATCCGATATCTTTGACATGTAGTATTCTTTCTGTTTCCTATTTATCTCTATTTCTCCTTCTAATCTATTCAAAACATTCTTGAGATCAATATTTTCGCACGAACATTCATCTAGTTTTTCTTCTAATTGTGCCATTCTTTTCCTCAATTCTTCAATTTCCATTTCCAATTCCACCTTCTTTTTCTTCAAAGCGTTATCTTGTTCCTTTAATTCTTTGATTGTATTTTCCGAAATTTTTCGTTCCTTTGAAATTGACCTTTGAAAGAGTTGCAATTCCTGTTTAGCCTTTAAGCACTTGTTTTTCAGTTCTTTCGCTTGTTCTTCCAACGAATTCTTTTCCATCTCAACTGAGACCAGCTTTGAATTGATCATGTCATGCGACTCTTGTAAGGATCTCAACTTGTCTTCTAAGTTTATTCTTTCATTCAAGGAGCAATGTTTAACACGATAAACTTCATTTGCAGTTGTGGAATTTAGTTTCTCTAGCTCAATAATCCTAGCTCTTAGACCGTTAACTTCTTTTTCAAAGTTTATTCTTTCTTGAACAAAATCTGTAGGTTTCTCAGGAATTTCAAGGGAATTCAATTCATTGTCTGTTAAAGTTAGCTCGATAACCATACGATCACTTTTTATAGATTCTGAATCACTTTCTAAGAAAGCGCATGCGATTTCCGAAAACGACGATGTTGAAATCGATCGCGTGTCTTGAGGGTTTTTAAAATGTTTCAATTCATGGAATTCATTATTAAGTTCAGCAGTCACTGGTTTCTTTCCCTGAAGAGGAGAAATAAACTTAGGCACAACCATTTCTGGAGCAATATGAGATGATGTACATGATCCAACTATATTACCTGGCATTTCTTCTTCTCTCTCATCATCATGCCCAGCTTCCAGAACGCTTAGCCGTTTCAAACTTCTTTCAAAAGCAGCTTTGAGGTTTATATACTTGGTTGTTACACAGTCCAATTCTTCTTTCAAGTTTTCAGTTTTTTCATTATCGTTCGTAACTCTTGAATGGTCCTCGCTTGTTATACTTTTACGGTTATTTACTAACGATTCCTTGTATTCATCGTTCTCTACAGAAGAATCACTGTTCGCTATCTCCTCTTCTCCATTTGTGGTTCTCTCTCTGCAGGACTGACAAATTTCTGTTCTGCCTTCCAGTTTGGCGATTTTTTCGTTAGCTTCAACTAAACGAACTTCGCTTTTCGCATTTTCTATCTTCAATTGCTTGATATTTTCTCTGTAGGAAGATAACATCTCTTCCAGTTTATTTTCATCGATGCTTCTCTTTTTCACATCTTCTGACTCTGACGAACTCTTGCGTAAAAGTTGTTGGATTTCCGTTTCTTTTTCGGCAAGTTTATTCAAAATTGTCTGCACGAATTCCTTATCTGTTGTCTCTGCATTATCCACTTCTTTCTTTTCGAAATATTTCCTCTCAGCTTCGTGTAATTTTTTCCGAAGGTTCGCGTTCAGATTTTGATACGAAGATAGCGCACTGAGTGTTTCTTGAAGTCTCTTTTCAAGACCCTTCACCTTTGTCACCATGCGTTCCTGAAGAACCTCTTGCATTTCCCGGAAATTCTCGGCTGTCGAATCGCTGTCGGTCTCGGAAACATTATCGTCCTGGCCCTCATCCGAAGACAACTCATTTTCTTGCTGAACATTCTTGGTTGTTGATTTGTCAAATTCCTCTTCGTAAACTCCGCAAGTTGCTTCAAGTTCCTGCATGATACGATTGGTCGTTTCACATTCTTTTTCTTTATTTGACAACGACACTCTTGTTTCTTGCAATTCTGAACTCAACTTCATAACCTCTTCTTGCAGTTTTTCCGTTGCTTGCTTCTCTTTAGTGTACATGGCCAACAGCTCTGTTTCATTTTGCTTGCTGCGTTCCAATGCTTCAATTACAGCTTGAAGTCTGTCAGATTCACGTTTCTCCAAGATAGATTCATTAAGTTGCTTTTTGGAAATTACTTCATCTTTCTTTTCCAACTGAATCCGAGCCTCGTTCAGTTCTTCGCGCAAAACCGTATTCGCTTGTTGTAATGAACTCAAATCTTGTGTTAGTTTAGAAAGGCTGTCATTGTTATTTTCAATAATTTGCTTATACTCAAACGTCTTTTCCTTTGCACTAGTGAATGATTTACTGACAGACTGTATGCACAAACTGCCAAAACATTTCAAGATGTCTCGTTTAAGCATCTCGAGCTCATTCTCAATCTTATCTTTTTCCTTCTGCGATGACTGCTGTATTTCTTTAAGTTTCTCCAACTCAATAGACAACTCTTGGTTTTGCTCTTCAAGATGCACAATCCTTTCTTCCTTTTTGATTCCCATTTGAATTTTATCTTCAATGTTTTTCTCTGCTTTGGCAAGTTTCGCATTCATCTCTCTTAACAAGGCATTCTGGGTCTCTTGACTTTGAACCAACTGTTTCTTCAGCGCCTCGATTTCGCCTCTAAGCCTGCTGTCGGTAGAAACCAAATGCTCTTTTTCTTTTCTGGAAATATCAAGCGCGTGTTGCAACTCCTCAATACTTATGTTAGCATCGTGAAGCTTTTTGTTAAGTAAAACAGTGCTGCCATGATCCGTGGCATACTCGTCTTCTTTAACAATTTCATTTATACTGTCCTTCATTGTTTTCAGCCACTTCTTTGCGATCCTGTTTTCGTGCTTTCGAGATTGGCGATCATTTCTTGCTGTTGTATGCTCTTTTACAGTTTTCTTGAGGACGTCATTCTCTTCAGTCAAAGATTTCAGCTGGAATTTTAACTTGAGATATTCCGATCTTGGAACGCAGGATGACTTTTGACAACTCATTTCAAAGTGAACCTTTGAGACACCAAATTCTTCTTTCTTCTCTGAAACATCACCACTTGAAATCTTTCGCTCGAGGTGGCTAATTTTGCTTTCCAACTCGAGTTTCCTCTTTTGTGAAGACGAATACTCAGAAATCAACTGATTAATTGTAGAAAATCCGACTACCTTCAATTTATCATTTAACTCTTTTCTCGACTTGGCGAATGACTTGTTTTCATTTTCAAGTTTCTCCAAGACGACCAACTGCTGGTAAAGTTCGTCTTCCAAGTTCTTGTTCTCGGTCTGCAGCAATGATATTTCGTTGGATAATTTCACTTTGGTCTCCTGAAGTTCAGAAACGTCTTTTCCAAGCATCTCTTGTTTCTGTCCCAGTTCTCTTTGCAGCTGTTGTTCCCGAAGTTGACGTGTCTGTTCTTGCTTATTCTTGTCGTGAAGAAGATCACGAAGTACATTCACTTCGTTTATTTCTTTCTGATGCTCATTTCTCAATTCTTCCACTTCCTTCAAAAGCAAGCTCCGTTCCTCCTCAACAGTCTTAAACATTTCTTCCACGTTAACTTTTGCGTTTCGCTCTTTTTCCAACATTTCACGTAGGGACAAGATTTCATTCTTCTCAGTGGTCTTTGACAATTCTTTTGAAGACTCTAAGCGTCCCTCCAGTTCCCCGATTACCTCCGTCAACCCCGAGATATCCTTCTCCAAACCTTCTCTAAGCAATTCGCTGTTCATAAAACCTTCATTTAGGAGTCGATATCTCTTCCTTAACGAAACCAGCTCGTTTTCCTTCAACAACAACGAGGAACTGAGTGACGTGAGCTGTTCGTTTAAGTAACGCGATGTTTCCCTTTCAAGATCCCTTTCAATTTCGACAGAGCAGAACTCAGATTGGATTTCGAAAAGTTTCTGTTGTAAGGAATCTTTCTCCTTTGTCATCTTTTGATATTTTTCCTTTAAGTCTTCCATTTCCAAGGATTTACCTGTTTAAGGAAGACAATAAAAAATGCAAAATCTAATTCAAATATTGGGTGAATAAATATGCATGTTATTATAGATATACTATGTCAGTTACAATATAAACACACAATCATTTATATCACAATACACATATAAATATTTGCCTTTGGTAAATAGGTGTTTGATAATATATCGGAGGAAAAATTCCCTTGTACTAATTCGTTCAAAAAAGTGCAAGTACATTTGAAATTTGACTTAAATGCCGGCTCGTGGCTGTCGATAATACTGTACACCGTCTATAATATTAGGGGGTCGCCATGACGCCATCAACACTTCACTCATTAAAAACGAAGCTTAGTGGTATATGTTCTCGAAATTCTTGGCTTTTTCCTGCAATTTCCTGAGCAGGTTCATCAGTGTTTGCACTAAAAACTATACTACAAGCCATACAACTATCACATGCGCAATTTGAAATTTTCATATTATCGAAACTCAAGTGAAAGTAACAAAAAAATAAAAGGAAAAGTTATAGAGAAAATAGCTTTGAACCGCAAAGAAAGGGTTAAAAAACACAATCTAATGTGTTCTGAAGGGCCGTGGGTGGAACCTTGATCGGAGGAGGGGGGAGAGGTGAATATTCATATATTCGTCTGGGGCCGGTTGTTCGAAAGGCGTTTAGCTTAAACGGTGGATAAGCCAAATTTTAAAAATACTCTCATATATCTTGTGAATGACTGAACCTGCATCTTATGCGTTTAATATGTACTTCCATTGACAATTAAAATATTTACATCGAAATATTTCAGCTTAGTTGTTCAATAAATAGATAATTTGGTTTTCCATTTTCAACTTATCCACCGTTTAAGCTAAACGCCTTTCGAACAACCGGTCTCTGATGCCCGACTGATTTCATTTTGAACGGATATTGTTCCTAAGATATGTAAACATGAATATATGAATATAAACCTCCCACAAACAATTAGATGGTCCTAGCTACGGCCCTGGCGTTCGTCTCAAATTCTATTTCGTTTTATGTGCAGCTGTAATTAACGATTTTATATGAAAAGTGTCAATATTTGATCTATGCGAGCTCTCGTCATAATACGTTATGAAAAACATATAGCATTTATCTTGAGCAGGTGATTTAGGATTCAGGAAAAGATAAATATGACAGCCTTCACAATGTTTAATGCAAATATTAAACATTCATTAATTAAATGTATCCTTTTATCTCCCACGTAAATTGATCAAACTCCCCTGACATGTCAATCTCCACTTTGCGGCAAAGTGTTGGATCACGAAATCATAAAATTTGATACTGAACTTTTATGTAAATTATCTGTGCCAGGTCGATATTTTAAGAGATAATTTTTCCTGATCGTTTATATTGCAGTTGCATGGCAATTAAGATAAGGCAAAAATATCAGTTCGCTAGCTTTGTTATCATCCAGCTATATATAGCGGGACGTTTAGGCTTAAAACATAAAGGGCTGTTTGTATATACTCTGTTTCGAGTGCATGCAAAATAAAAAGCTAATGAGTTTAAGTATTTCTTTCGATGAAACCTGCGTAAAATGATTCATAAACACAATTTGAAGAAGCAGTAATCCGTACACGACAAATTGCGCAAATGCTCCCAAAACAGGAAAATTCATCAAAGGTTTTGATGTCAAAGGTCTTATTGATGAAGACATATAAACGTGCTTTGGAGTTTTTACAGATCTAAAAAGATGCAAATAAACTTACCAGGTTCACATATGCCAGCTTCACTTTCCCCACCATCCACTGCAGAACTCCTCGAAATATCCAATAAAGCATTTTGATCTTTGTTCATCGTTGTACTACTTTTCTCTTTGCTTGAAACTTTTATTTCTTGTTCTTTAATCGAACTTTCGCTTTGTGAAGTGAATTCAATTCCCGCTAAAACATCCACAGCACTGTCCGATTCATTTACATCAGAACTACGCAAAATGTTTAGTTTTGGAATACCAATTTGATCCTCGTTCAATTTAATATTAACATCTTCGATATTTGAAAAGCCATGTTCCCTCTTTGAAACAGCAGAAGACGTGGTTTCATGCTCTCCGTTATTTGCGATTTTTTCTTCTTCTTTCAAAGTATTTATAAAATCTTCAGTCTCTTTGTTTTGGACTGAAAAAAGCGCATCGTTTTGTGTTGTTGTTTTTATTGTATTGTAAGTAAACTCGCCGCCCTCATTTTCTAGCAAACTTGCTGTTCCTACGTTGACAGATCCAGCACGTTCCGTTTCATCCACAACCATTACGCCAGCATCCAATGCAGAAGGATTTAAAGTACTCGAAGCTCGCGGATCGCTTTGACTACTATTCAGCGTGATGTCAAAATCCTCGGTAGAAAAAACATCTAAATCTTCCTTTTTCGATGAATTAACATCCTCCGATAAATCCTCGGCCTCTGCGCCATCTCCTGAAGTAAACATGAGTTCGCCTCGCAACATTTCGTCTTCGTTGTCAAAAACAAATCCTCTGTCCTCCGCTTCCTCGAGGATTGCAGACCTCAGTTCCTCTTGTAAACTGATGGGGGTTTCCATAACAAAGCAGTCAGTATCCGCTTGCAATCAAACCGTTCCTCCACAAAAACCTCGGCGCAGTTATCCGGTTCAACTTGTAATTAGACAACAACAACCTTGCCGTTTAGTTTACAAAACAGCTTGGAATCCCGGTAAAATACCTGCTAATTACTCCGCCGATGAATTGCGAGAATGAAAGAATTAATAATCGTCGTATCTTTCTATCCCTATCGGGAATCTTGTTGCATCATTTAACTCGAACAAACCAGGCTCGCATCTGAACGACAAAAGATCCCTTTATCGCAACAACGCAACAGTTTTATTGTGAAGTTTGCTCAACAGTTAATGGGTCTATGCTTACAAATGTACCTGCTGGTTTTGTATTAATGGACGCAAGTTTGAACTGAAGAATTGAAATGAATTGCAACTTTCGTGTCCTAAATTAACTTAACTGTGTTTAACTTGAATAAATGTATATAACTTGCAACAGAGCCCCCAAAAGTGAAAAAAAATAATTTGTTTTACCATAAATAATACAAATAATTTTGCACACTATGATATATGTTGCTTTGATGAACAAAAATTCGTCTAGTGATTCTTTATTGTCCCATAAAAACTTTGTCCAGTTTGACAAAAATTATAGTTTTATTCGAGAAATTGCACAGGACATGTCAACACATTGTCGTCGATACTTTAGTTTGAGCAATAGTTTGGGTCTTGAGGGATACCTGTTGCTCTAATTAATGGGCACGGAATTGAGGAAATCAATAATAGATTTCATCCTATATCTCTTCTGAGCGGAAAATGTTTACTTTTAATAAATGTAATATGTATTTGAGCTGTAACAAAACTAATGAATTTACCATTAAACGCGTGTAGTTTACACAACAAATTTCAAAATTGGCACACGAGTACATAGCCTATTCTGCAGTTAAAATTGGCGCATCAAATATAATGGATTAATAATTTCATTTTTTATATTTCTTATTCGATTCAACTTGAATATACACCGAATTTGCCAAATGAATTCTCCGATAAATTTTCAATCAATTTGTAAACTAAACGATATAGTAAATCGCACATAAGGAATGCTTTCATGGGGCATGTACCTGCACTTAATGGGTAAACATGTTTAAATGTTGGATATAGATATTTCTCACCTGCGATTTCATTCAATATAACTTAAGAAAATTAAGCTTAAATATCGCATTTGTATACAAATACACAACAGACGCACGAAATTTGCATTCCTTAAATGTATTTTGACGAAATAATTTGCACAGAGAACATATAATAATACATGTACCTGTTACATTTGATGGCCAACTGGATACAAAATAAAAATATTTAATTTTCCACTTTGTTTTTTATTCGTTTAGTTTTTGTACGAGTCCCTGGACTAAAATTCTCTTCGAATTTAAGTACATTTAAGGCTTTCACTTATATTTTCTCTTCCTTATCAGCTTATCAACGCAACAGGCGGTAGCGTTGTTACTATGACGATTAATGCAAAATAGCGTTGTTCATGCAATTAAAATGTGTTTATATTCAAGGAAGATGTTATTTATAAATAGCACAAAAGCATACACGCTATACAATGTTTAAGCCGGTTTTCCATTAGCGATATTTTTCGCGCGAAGCAACTTTATTCCTTTGGCTTTGTATTTGAGCAATTTGTTCCAGATGGTTGCAGTTGAGAGCTCTGAAACAAAAGTAAAATGTCGCTTCGCGCGAAAAATATCGCTTGTGGAAAACCGGCTTTAGACTTCTAAATAGACGTCTAAATCTATGCTTTTTCCATACGCATTCATAGTAACAAAGCATAAACAATAATTTTAAATACTTGGCTAATTTCAGCATTTTCGTCGACGAACTCGATTTTTGGTATAATTAAATTTATATATATAAACTGCGTTTGCTTCGTAGAAGGTTTTTAACAAGTTGTACTAAAATTCTTTATTAAAGCTTTTATTTCTGGCAAGAATTACAAGTTTCAAGCATATTTAATTGAAAATATAATAGCAAATGAATAAGACAAGCAAATTATCTTGTTAAATTTCAAATGCATGCAAGGCCATTATATCATGTTTACAATAATGTGAGCGTTTACTTGCGTTTTGGGCTGGCGGAACTTAAATATTTAATGTATGCTGAACAGGCTATACTACTTTTATTGAACATCTTTTTACTTGCAATTGCTTTACTTCTATTAAAACTGAAATTATTCTTTAAATGACTACAAATGACTATTATTGACCGCAATATATCTTAAAATACACCATAATAAATAGAATAAAAATACTTAACGTCAAAAAATTAGGTTGGAATGAAAATTATCGCACTCAATTTTAAAATAACTGTCAGTTAGTAATGAAGGGCTAATGTGTAAAGATTGAATTGTCTCCAATGAGCCGAAACACAAGCGCAATAAATTAGGCCTAAATAGGAAAAATACACTAAAGTAAGCTGGTCTATGTAAAGTTGAAGCTGGTTTGGCTGTTAACAGTTTCGATTTACCCGCGTTTACGGCAAATTATTGAAAGAAATTCATTCAGAAAGAGCTTCATTCAAACGCGTTGAGGTGAGTCTTTTGACAAGAGAAGACGTCAGTGCGATTTGACGTTTAAATATGCTACATTTGCCTAACTTATGCCTTTTAAAAGTAAATCATTTCCTCTTCGCCGTTCAAGCCCAGTTGTATGCTGGGACTGGATAATGACGTCATATTTCCGGTCACAGGACTGGAGGATGACGTCACGACTTCCTGGACGCTGGCTATTTCCTGAACTGGAGAACCGCGCGCAGAGAATTCTTCCACGAAAAATGACATCGCATCATTCTCGAGATCTTGGGCCACCTCTTTCGCAATATACGGACTAATTTGCTCGTCTGGGTTTAGATCAGTCTCTTCTGAAGAGAATCTCGACTGTGTGGTCAAAAACGGGTCGACTTCACTCAACTGATTTTCGGCCGGAGTATTCGATGCTTCACCGCTTGCTTCAAACTCGCCCTCATCGCCCAAGTTCAGGGAAACATCACCTTCGGGAGAATTCGGTGTATACTCGGAGGTATTGACATCAATATAGGGTATGGAAATCTCTGGTGTACTGCGGGATTTCATGTCGGAGCCAACATCCCCGTTGATACTAGGCGAGGACACCGACTTCGTGAACGACATCGGGCTATCATGGTCATCCGCTGACATATTTGAGTATGATCGCGGGCGACGTAGGTTGTAGGATCCAGGACTTAGCCGTGAATCGCTCGGCGAGAATGATGTGGAAGAGGAACGGTGAAGTGAAAATTTTCGAAGATCATTTGCAAGCTCTACCTCTAGCGTTGAAATCTTGTTTTGTGCTTGGTTTAATTTTGTATCAAGTCCTTCCATGCTCTGAGAGTTGCCCTTAACAGACGTTGTTATCTTCTGAAAAGTTGTATTGTACATTCCAGTAACAGGACTTGTCTTCTCCAGTTCTAAGGACTTGCTTCTCTTGAGGGAAGTTTGAAGTTCCGTCACTTTCGATTCCAAATCTTTTATTTCACGTTTCAATCTTTCATTTTCGCGTGTTATCTGCAAGTACAAACAACGATAAAAGAAATTCGCCATTTTTAAAAGAATGACAGAATGGCGATTCTCAAAAACGTAAATCGATTAAAATTTTTTTTGAAATTTTTAGTATGCCACATAAATTTATGAGAAGTTGCTTCTACTTATTTTGTTAACAAAGATTTCGAATGATCTGTGGTTTGTTAGTTGGCAGTCGAAGAATTACATTATAACAATTATAGCAATTTTGAAATATTAGAAAATAAATAGTTTAAGTTCCAATGGAAGGTACATATTTATTGCATAAGATCTAGGATCAGTCGTTGACAAAAATGTTTTTTAAACATTGATTTATTCGCCGTTTAAGCTGAACGCCTTTTGAACAACGGAACCCAGGGCAGACAAATTACCTTTTTCAATTCGTTCGTCTTGCTTGAAAACTTATCTTCCGTTTGATAAAGTCGCGACTGCATTTCAGCCACCTTGTCTTTTCCAGCCTTATAAGTGACTTCTTTTTTGGAAATCTCCAACTTCATCGCAAGCAACGCCTCCTCTGCGCTGGTTTTCTCCGCTCGGAGTTTCTCAATCAAAGTTTCTTGTTTTTCTGCGGCAGCTTTTAGACCATCGTAAAGCTTGCGTTGTTCTTCCACTTGGTTTTCTACAACTTCCAGTTCTTTCTCTTTTCTCGAAAACCGTTCGCTCATGCTTTGTAGATGGCCTTCGCTGCTCACACACTTGCCAGATAACTAAAAAAACAAAAAAACGTGTCATGTTGTTCGATACTTGATGTAAGTCTGATATACGAGCGATGTGAAAATCCAAACAAAACTATTACTTAATTAACTAAAAAATAGCGATATCATAGTGTTACTACTATGGTGTTACAACCATGGTGCTACTGCTAGTGTGCGACTGCTATGGTGTTACAACCATGGTGCTACTGCTATGGTACTACTACTCTTTCTTGGTGGTGCTACTACAATGGTGCTACTATCATGGTGTTACTACATACTCTGTGTTGCTGGTGCTATTACAATGGTGTTACTACTCTGTTGGTGGTGCTACGTTGAGTACCAAATACTATATGGTGCTACTCTGAGCACGAATTACTATAGTGATACTATAAGAAAAACTACAATTGTGTTGCTCTGAGTACCAACTACTATGGTGCTACTTGCATCGTGGATAACATGAAGTATCTCCGCTTACCTCTTCAACCCGCTTCTCCAATTCTTCCGCTCTCTGTTCTGTCGTCGTCAGCGCTTTTTCCAACTCATCTGATTCTTCGACGTATCGTTCGTTCGAGACTTTGAGATCTTCAATCTTCTGTTTCGCCAGGATATACGTCTGCTGCAAATGTTCGTTTTCCTCGACTAGTTCCACTTTGCGTTTCTCCAGACTCTTGATCCGTTCATTCGCGAGATCCATATCTGCGTGCAGATCGTTAACGTTCTCACGTTTCGCCTTAAGCGCGTTCTTCAGCTCTTGCGCGTGCTGCTCTGACGCGTCAAGTTCGTCTTCAAGCTCGGCAGTTCTGTTCAATAGCTGAATGTTTTCCTCTTCGAGTACTTCGAGTCGATCAAGAGCGCTCGCTCGTCCATTTCGACTCGAAGTGACTCTGCTGCCATCGAAGGAGTTGTCCAAAGGAGTGCTTTCGCCATCCGGCGCTTCATTTACAGCCAATAATTCATCCTTTTGTTTCACAGCTTCCTCGAGCTCCAGTATCTAAACAGAAAACCAAATTACAACTTTTGAAAGAAAATAAGGACCAAAAAAATTTTTGATAAGATCCTAGTACGAAGTTTTAGAAACTTGCTTGATTTATGTGATATTTTAGGGGCTGTTTACATGAGCCCGGTTACCCGAGATTCAACGAAGCGTGAGAGGACTTTGAGGTATTGAAATAAGTCTTTATGACACCAAACAAGCACATGCTATTGTTGTGGTGATTATACGACTGCGAGGATCGTGTTATCTGCTCATTTCAATACCTCAAAATCATCTCACGCTTCGTTGAATCTCGGGTAGCCGGGCTCATGGAAACAGCGCCTTAGTTGTAATTGCTATTGCATTTTTTTGTAGCTAGTTTGTAACGAATTGCCCATCTTAACTGGATTCAGTCCAGCTGATCTGGGTACAAAACTGATATCCATTTCCTTTTAACTCATTCTGGTTCTTTTGCGTTTAAAACTTTTAATTTTTTCTCAGAATTATTCATTTTTTAGTTAAAAAATTCTCCCAAATTTTAAGTAACAATTGAAGAAAAAAATTGCAGTTCGAACTTCACCTGTTTTCGCAATCTTTCAATTTCCTCTTCGCTTTTCTTAGTTTCTGCAGTCAATCCCTCCATTTCATCTTTGCATTCATCTTTCTCCGAGACGACGCTGTTAACCATCGCCTTCATCTCAACAACCTTTTTAAATAAATCTTAGTCAGTTTCAAATATACAACACCTAATCACCTCGATATGTCATAAATACACTATGTAAAATACACATAATGCACGTTTCTCAAGGCATTTCACCTCTGCGATAAGATATCAATGAAGATTCCGTGTATATCCGTGTATATTGGAGCCGTTTCCTAAAATATTTGTCTACATATAGAATCTTTGTAAATACATAAGTTTAATTGCTCCGAGGATGTTGTAAACAATGCAACGAAACGTTTGCTAATATTTTTTTACATTTTGTTATGTCTTGTTTGAAATTCATTTCCCGGGCTTTAATTTGCATTTTTAATATAAATTAGGATTACTTCAAAACAACTGCATCATTACCTTTTTCTCCAAATCCGCACTACTGCTTTCCAACCTGGCCACATCTTCCTCAAGGCCACGACATTTTGTTTCAGAAGCGGACAACGCGTGCGAAATCTTATCCTTTTCGTTCAACTCCGTGGCGTATTTCTCCTTCATGTGTCGGACTTGTTCCTCGGCATGAGAGTTTTGTTGCACGAAATCCTTGATCTTCGTTTGAAGTGCGATCACTTTCTTGTGAAGTTCTTCGATCTCCTCGTCCTTTTCACGACACCTGGCGTGGCACAAACATTCATTGACAAGAATCCACAGCGATTATCAACTTGCACAAAAAAATCCGAACGAAAGAAAGTGTTCCGTGTTTGTAAAAACTTATTCATTGAATGCAAATGGCATGGCTCTGTTAAGGAATCTGTGCCTGTGATACATAATTTAGGCGAGCCCAACTTGGACCAAATGACATATTTTTAAAAGTTATAACATGACTTGAGTTGAGGCACAGAAAAAAACGCTCAAGTTGTTCCCGGTTGATAAGAACAGGCCTCGACAATGTTGTGCTGCACCCCAAGAACAATGTTATCAACAATGTTGTTAAACCTTGTTACACTTAAAAATATTGCAACATGTTGTTGATAACATTGTTCATAGGATGCAACACAACATTGTTGAGGCCTGTTCTCATCAACTGGGAACAACTTGACCGTTTTTTGCTCTGGCATCAATTTCCTTAGAAGTCATGTTACCAGAATGTGATCAATATTATGGCAAACTCTGAAAGAAGTATGCTGAAGCTATTTAGACGATTGTTTGAACAAATTGCTTCTGTATAGTGTAGTGAATTTGTGATCGAGCTATAGTCTTCACAATGTGGATTAAAAACAAGAATGACCCTACAGCATGCTTGATGAGAGTAAATTTGACCACAGCGTAAATTTTTCTATAAATTTCTCCAAAGAACAAAATATGAGAGATATTGTGACAAAATCTCATTACCTATCTTTAAATCTGGACACTTTTCCCTCCAAGTCAGCCTCATCGGAGGACATTCTTCTCAGCGCTTTAATCTCCTGTTCTTTCTGTTCCCAGTCTTCTTTTAACTGCTCCGTTTCCTCCACCTTTGCTCGAAGTTTAATAACTTCTTGTTTCAATCTTTCCCTTTCAACCTCCACTGTACCTAATTGTTCCTCTTTTACACTCAAGTCCTCTGTAATCTGAAAAGATAGGATTGGAATCAATGGAGAGGTGGCTTATGGGGGAAGGATTCATATCAAATTAGATCCTTAAGGTGGTGTTACACTATGCAACTTTCCTTGCAACCTGCACTGCAATTCTACTCCTGAGGCATCTAAAGTTGACGAATACGAACATTTCGTACGATCTGTTAACGTTTTCTCAGCATTTCGAACACTTTTTACAAATTAACATCCCTTCAAATTATAATTGCATTGCAAGTTGCAAGGAAAATTGTCTAGTGTAACAGCACCTTAAGTTATATTATCGAAGAATATTATTTACCTGCTTCAAACGTGATATCTCTCGTTTCAATCTCTGAATTTCCTCATCCTGTTGCGCCAGCTCGTTTTTCAAAGAATCAGACCGCTGCGCTTCTTTCTTGGAATTAAATTCCTCTTTTTGGAATTTCTCGATTTCACCTCGTTGCGCCTTGTTTTCGCTCTCGAGTTCCACGATTCGCTCCAAGTAGATCTCAGTCTCCTTGCTAGGCGGCACGGCATCGCGCTGAAGAGTACTCAAATTTGATTGGCTCAGAGATCTTCCCGTTCCCAGGTTGCTTCGGGCGTTTCGCTCGACAGAGGAAACCCTAGCTTTAAGGAAGGCAATCTCCTTATCACTTCGTAACAGCTCCTTGAGGTCTTTATCCTGCTTCTTGTGCAACTCCGCTATCTCTAGCTCTATTTTTTTAAGCTGGTCATCTCGTTCCGCGACAATCCTTTTGTACGCTTTCAGATCAGACGAGACTCGCGTGCTCTTAACATCAAGATCATTGTAATTATCTGTAATTTGAATCAGCTCGTCCTTGAGAACTTCAGCGGACTTCTCCAAGTCGCCTTTGGTCAACATCAACTCTTCTTTCTCCTTCTGCAATTGAGCACATTTCTCCCTGGAAAGTTTAAGGTCGCTTTCAAGAGCAGTATAATTTTGAGTTAAGTCGTTCAATCCTTTCTCAGATGTCCCAAAGCTCTCTCTGATTTGAGTGATCTCATTAGCATGATCGACTTCGCGTTTTCGCAAAACGGACACTTCCTGCGTCAGAACTATCTTATCTTTTTCGTAACTTTCAATTTGAGACTTGAGATCGAGTTCTTGACTAATAAACCTTTCAATCTCCGTGGTAGTTTTCGATTCGTTGACTTTACTCTCTGTCAGGGACTGTTCCAAGATCTTAACCGAACTCTGGACCTCTTTAAGTTCACTCTTAAGACTCTCCACATAAACGGACGAATTTTCGGAGTCTCGTTTACACAATATAGCATCCTGCTGGGCCTCTCTGATATCTTTACCGAGTTTCTCGTTTTCGTGTTGTAACTTTTTACACTCGGACTCCTTAACCTTAAGTTCGCTATTCAAATGTTTAGCTTTCGACAAGAGTTCAAGTTTCTCGTGTTCCAAGCGATAGGTGACGTCTTTATGCGAAGCGAAGTTTTCCTCGTATTTTTTAACTTTCTTCCCCAGTTCTTTGATTTCTCTGTCGTTGTTATAGAGTCTCTGGTTCTTTTGCTCGCTCACCGATCGCTCTTTTCCGAGCTCGTCGCGGAACTTCGTCTTCAGCCGGCGGTTCTCGGATTTCACTGCTGCCAGCTCGCTTTGAAGATCGCTGACTCTCTGTCTGTTCGCGCCCAAAGTTGCCTGAAGTTTCTTCTGTTCTTGCGCCATCTCGTCTCGCTTTCTGTTGCAAGACTCGAGATCAGACAAAAGCGAACTGACTTCGCTTTGAAGGTTGTATTTCTCGATGGTAAGAAAACTAACTTCTCTTTCTTTCGACGTCGACTCTTTGAGGTAACCTTCAGCGAGCTGTTGTTGTCTTTGTAATCGGTTTTCCAGCAACATCTCACCGCTAGTAGCCCCACCACCGAGCGAAATGTTCTTAAACAGTTCTTTAACTTTTGCTTCGGATTTTTCCAGCTTCTCGCGACACATTGACAACTCGTTTTGAAGATTATCCGCTCGGAACCGGCATTCCTGTTCGGCCTTGTAGCTTGCATTCAATCTCGACATCAACTGATCCTTTTCGGAGCCATCGTACCACGACCGGTCCCGACCACTCTGCGACGAACTGCGAACGGCGCCCGATAGAACATTCGGACTTCCCGCAGGACATTCACGCTCGTGTTTTAGTAACTGCTGTTGTATTATTTCCACGGCGTCGGCTAAATTACGATTCTTTTCTTCAATAGTTTGAATGTACGAAAGAATGGGTCCGCGAACGTTTTTCTCTAATGAATTAACCTGTTCGTGTACGCGTGCGAGATCCGCGCGGGCTACGCCAGATTTCTCGCGAGGCATAGCAAATTTCGCGCGTGACGTGCCGGATTTCCCGTGGGAAGAAGAACTTCCACGCGAGGTCGAGTAGAAATGATGTTTGACTGAACTACCACCGCCTATGCCATAACCCTCGGAGTCCACGTGCGAATACGGAGAATTTATCGACTCCCACGGATCGTCTCGTACTCCCGAATAGGTATCGTCACGTTCCGAACCTTTTCCGATCGTGATGTCATGTTCGTAACGCCAGCATCCTTGACAAACCGCGCTGTCTCGGCAAAATCCCGGTGTAAAACCGTTGATACAACGCAAACGGCTTACGGTCTCTTTCGCTTTCTCAAGTTCGTCATGGATAAGTTGGCTGTCAGAGGACAGTATTCCCGACATCAATGAAAATCGCTTTTAAAGCTTTAGAAATACGAGAACGGTTTTTTCCCGCGTATAATTACTACAATTGACAGCTTCCTAATCCAAAAATATCCAGAGATTTCGGAAGGAAAATTTCATGCAACTGTAATGAAATCTTCACGACTTTCGCACGAATTTCCCACTGTGAAAAAAATATCAACAGTTTGTTGTCCAGCGTTCAGATTCGAGCAGTTTTTGACAGCTTTATAAAACTTTATTCCAAAGTTCACAAATTCTTTCAACAATTCAAGACGCAGCAAACTAGAAAATACACTATGTGGCAAAATGTATAATCCACCAACAAACCAAAAGTTGAATCCAAAGCGAAGATGAATACCTTCGTTAGCGGTAGATAAACATTATTATCCAAGTCCAACCAATGCAATTTATCACGAGTCCATCGTAAGTAATATTCCAATTCAAGGTCGAGAAAATATGAAGGAGGTGTATTCTTTAACAAATATTGATGTTGTATTTGACAAGAAACGCAAAGCAAAGGAAAATTGTTGTATTGAGTATTTTCTATATTTTATGCAGCAAAATTCAAATGAATTTAGGCTTCGCGTTTATTACCTGCTGGTTGGGTTCTCCCAGGGATGCTCATTGGTTGGATTTTGTCACATGTAGCAGGTCGTTCCGCCCCACTGGGCTGCGTTAAAAACTGGAGTGAGAAATAATCTCTAAAGAGTAAAGCCAGAAATGGAAGAGAATGTGGTCTAGTGCCAGTAATTTTCCATCGTTCGCGAACTCGAGTTGCAAGCAATGATTGAAAATTAAATTTTATTAAAAATTAAAATGCATAAAATTGTGCTAACAATCTTTTCTTTCTAGAAGTAAAGTAGGTATTTTAGTGATTAATAATATTTTAATATTTCTCTTTCAAATACCTCCACTCCCTACAGATAATTTGGAAAATGGCGTGCATATGTGTGAATTTGCAAGGGCAATTTAGAATTATGCGAACTACTAAACTAAGGAGTTTGCGAATTTCTACAACTACCAACATGATTGTTTCCACAAACTATTAAATACATATTGAAACCAAACGCGAAAAGTTGGTCAAATAGAGTTTCATTTCATATTGCTCTTGAAAATATTTATATCACAAACGCACAGGAATATTTTACAGACGTGCTTTCAGTCTACACCACCCGGAAAATATCTTAAACAAGACGCCCGGTAGGCGTTAACTCGGGCTATGTAGCCGGTAAGTACACTGCACTGAAACTGAGCTATATTGATACAGCTGTAAATACGCGACTGTCCGCGCGAAAGAATGAGCCTGCGACACGAAAAAAAATAATAGTCGCGAAACCTAGACTCGGGTACCACAGGGTAGCCCGAGTAATAATACGGGGGTGGAATCATAGAACTGCCTGATAACTGTGACAGTTGTCAATATTGTTCAATCTAGTGAACTCTCTGTGAAGTGAAACGATAACTCGGTCGCCATCTTTGAAGTCAATTTTTCCAGTTGATATAAAGGTCTGTTCACACAATTTTGTTGGGTCCAATTCACTTTTGACGTATGGAATGAAGTCATTTATTGATAAAGCAGCACTGCGTTGGTTTAGGTTGATTTGCTGCCCACATAAATTACAAGACAACAGACTATAAAACATCCATCAGAAGTGAATTGGATCCAACAACGATGCCAACGATTTGTAACAATTAAAATATTAAGTATTGAAAAGTTGCAAAACATCGTTAAACCCGGGGCTGATCAACTGGGAACAGCTTAACTACGTGTTCTTGACCACTAAATTGCCCTCCGTATTAGAAATGGCGTTGATTTCAACTGGCAGTGCCTTTTCAGAATCAGTTCTGTTAATAATTTTTTGCTTCATATTTTGCATGATATAATACTGAATGTGTAGAAATAAGCAGGTTAAACCTTTCACGTGCATGTACGTACGTGAAAATATTTAACAGGGGAAACTGGCCTTTGGCAGACGAATTTGATAAAAAAAAAGGCGAGAGAAACTTTGTAACAATGCACACAATCATGTTGAGAAAATCACAATTAGGTTCACATTTAAATCACTTATTACAAGCCCTGCTAACTATATAAATACACCATAATTTTACAAAATTTACATCTTTAGATCAGCCAACATGACCGAGAGCCCTATTTAATGATTAACTGTTCTCGCCAGAAATTTATCTCAGCATTTAGGCAAGTCCAGCGCTCATATTTCTCACTTACAGGCTTTCGTTTGAACAAAAACAAATTTTTCATTCCCAAGTGTTTAAAACAGGAATTTCGTGCAATGGCGTCGCCAGACCACTGATCTAGTAAGACACTGGATGGAGCAACTATAAAAAACTTTTCCAGTAGACAAATTTGCGAAATATATTAAGAGAAACATTCTCCGAAAATCGACGTCTTGTGAAGTCAAGATGCGAGTTGCATAAAACAACGGTGTCGGTGACCTATTACGAGCCTGGAATCAACGCATGACTTAGAGATTAATTTAGTACCAGACACAAATTATCACGCTGTTATACTATGCAATTTTCTTTGCATCTTGCAATGCGATTATAATTTTGAGGGATGTTAATTAGTAAAGAGTGTTCAAATGCTAAGAAAACGTTAGCAGATTGTAAGAAATGTTCGTATTTGACAACTTTAGATATCTCAGGAGTAGAATCGAATTGCAAGTTGCAAGGAAAGTTGCATAGTGTAACATTCCTGGAGTTTCAGTGATGTATTAATTCTTTTTCATTGGGGATCCGGAAGTTCACTAATTCTGACTTTGTTTTTGATAAGTATAGTTGTGCATCCAGTGTATTGTCGGATCAGGGAACTGAGGAGACGTAATGAGGACTATAACTTGAAATTCTGTCAAAATACTTGCAAACGCTGTACAGGATAATTTCAAATAAATAAAAAATATTTATTTGCAAAATATCAGTTGTTGAAAAAATTACACGAGCCTGGATATCCCGTGCAGGGGGTCTCTCCCAGTCCCCAATCTGGCGACGCTGTCGGTATTTTGTATTAAAAATGAAAGTGATCGAATCTTGCTATTTAAAAGCTATCGTGGTTATCTTTAGTGTTGGTAAGCGGCAGGGTTTCCACAACTTATTTGCATATGACTGTCCTCGTAGGGGGATGACAATGACAAGAGAGAAACAGAGAACGTTTGAAAAGAATAATGCATAGAATTTTCTTTTCACACAGATCCCTCGTTCCTTTACGGTTGTCATTTTGACGGAAATTTTTCTTCATTGTGGAAACACTGCTAAGCAGAGAATATGGTGACGTGAATGTTGTCATAACGACATGAAGTTTACGAGCCGCATTTGGACTAAAGGTACGTTCACACATAATCTAGTCTAGTGGTGCACCTTGGGGAAAAGGGGTTATTCTACCCCTGAATAGGTTTCCGAGGCCACAGCGGCAAAACATATAGAAGATTTGAAAGGTGGACAAACTTAATAAATAACTTTTCCGTTGCGCTACATATTAAAATCTAGTAACTCTTCTCTATGGGATCACAAAATTAGAAAAATCTATGAAAACCTAATCCTATCCCCCCCTCCAAAAAAAGGCGACCGCATTTGCCGGACTTTGAACATCAAAATGTTTAGTTCTTTGGCCGCCCGTTATCCAAACTGGGGTCACATTAAAACTTATTTAATCTTGCTGCGACTAAGAGGCGGTTTTCATCTTTTGATTGATACAAACGAGTCGGTAAGTTATAAATGTTCATGCAAGATACAATACAAACAGAGCCTCTGTAACTAATTCCCTCGTTCACATGCACCAAAAGAAGAAATTCACAAGAAAATCACAGGAATAATTGCAAGTGTAAAAGATCCTAAGGAAGATTCTGACATCACCAATTTAAAGATTTTCGCTCTTTCTTCATGTTAAATGACGAAAACTAGTCAAAATAGTATCGTCTTGCTGTTGTTTTCTTCGAAAATTTCACTAACATGCATCCGAATAAGGCCAGAACCACATGTGCAAAAACCACAGAGATGTAAACGTACCCTAACCTATTTTACTGTGCATTACCTTCGCGCCTGAGTAGGAACATTTGGCAGCACCCTGCGGGCGTCACCGCTAGATTGTTCTTTATTTTTTCTTGCCTGCCTGCGGGCTAATTTCGCTGCATCTTTCTGCTTAAAAGGCACTGCTCCGAATGGGTCTCTTCCCGGGCTGACAGGTTGTGCGGGCGTCGCCTTGACAACCGGAGTGGCCCTCGCTGGTTTTCGGAATGGCGCCGAATCGAATACACCAGAATTGTCATTAGTATGCCCGGGCTGTGCAAGGGTCGGTTCGTAAAATATCGTACTACGATCGAAATGTGTCGTCATCTCGTCTACGTCACAACCGGCGTTCACAGGCCCGTCTGCGAACGATTCGTTTTTCCCTGGACCGCTAAAAATACCGTCGACATTCTGCCGCACTATTGGTCGCGACATGACGACGTCCTCATCGCAATCAGAGGAACGACGAGAAGAATCACTCGCATACGGTGAGGCATTAGAAGTCCGCTGGACGCTAAGTGCACTGGTGTTCGAAGGATGTTGCGCATATTGCGCACGCATGCTACCGCTGACAAACTGCGGCGGATACGTGTGTTCTGTGCTGCGCTGAGCACACTGATTTGCAGGCTCGACTATTGCGGAACCCTGCTGAACATTCCGGACAGTGGGCTCACCGAATCGTGCGGAACTCTGCTGATCATGTTGCATCGTGGGCTCACGCAAACTAGCAAAATCGTCGTCAGTGGTTTCCGTATTTAAAACAAAATCGTTGCTGAAAGGATTCCATTTTGGAAAGTTCGGGGTCGGTTCTTGCCTATGCGTAACCTGAACAGTGTTTATTTGTGGCACAGGGCGAACTAAATTCGGAGACCCGCCGCCTTGACTGGCTGTTATGTAGTTTTTCACAAAGACCGGATCTGACCGCGAACGCACATGCGTAAACTCGCGATCAACGAACCTCCTTCCGACCGGAGAAGGGTCCCTGCTTGGTCGTTCGCCGAACGGGTTTAAGTACGCAGGCTGATTCGCTGGGAGACTGTTTTGGGTGTTGGGATGTCGGACAACATGTGCTTGTACGTTTGTTTTTTGAGGCGACGTATCGTTATAGCGGTAGGCCTGGGCCTGCTGTAGGAGGGTGGCAGACTCTGCAGTTGGAGGGGCGGCGGGGGTATTCGCAGCAGGAGGTGCACCCCCTGCCCCTGCTCGTGGTCGATCTCTAGGTATCAAGGAAGTTGATACTGGTTCATGAACCGATCTAGAGTAAAACCAATACGACTTTCAATAGAGTGATCGAAAGACACCAATATGGGTAGCCATACAGGCAGGGGCGCAACTAGAACGATAATTGGGGGGGGGGGGTGAATATTCATATATTCAGTTCTGCCCGACGAATTTCTATTGTAAGCTATTGCACTTACAAAAAGAAATCCGTAGGGCAGAACTGGATATATGAATATTCACCCCCTCAATTATCGTTCTATTTACGCCACTGCATACAGGGTAGCCATTTTATGGTAAAACAAAAAACTTTTACAGAAAAACTTTTACAAAAACATTACCAGGCGTACAATAGCATAGCGTTTGAAACCCAAAATACAGACTGAAGAAATAATTTATTTGTGATGGAAATATCACAAATCGCATAGCAGCGTTGTATTTTCGCTCTAAATACGTCGAGGTCTGCGGATTTTTTGCATCAAAAAAGCGGTAGCAGTTTGCAGAATTTTCTAAACCATGAACAATTTTTTGTCCTGGTTTCACAATTAGTGAATTACCATTTCCCGTAATTTTTTCGTGGAAACATAATTTGCAAGAACCGCCAATGTTGTTGATAAAAAATAATCGCATCATATTTCATCTAATGCGGCACATTTCGTCTCATTTCCTTCTATATAGCTATCTTGGGATACCCTAGATCGCCGCTCTATTGAGACTGGGATTGAAACGAGCTCTTTCAATTATAGTCATTTTTTAGATAGCGACTTAACGTTTGTCTTGGACAACGCATAGTTTTCAATTCGAATTCAGAATTGAATGGCATATAGGTGCAACGATGACTGTTTCGAAAAACATGATCTTAACAGCATAATGATTCACATTCATCATAATAAGCAAAGATCTTCAACCGAAAGGTTTCATCGCCGACACGAAACACGTTAAAAAGCGTGGGAAACTTACCTTGGGACTTTTGACTTGCCTGGTGTCGATAATTTACTGTTGTCGTCCGGAAGCTGCTTTGGTACCGAAGAACTCTGAAATTTAGAGCAAAAAATATCTCGGATTTATGGTGTCCTAGGGACTGTATACATGACCCCGGTTACCCCAGATATACCCTATATTTCCCGCATTGTACACCACAACGCTGTAAAACTTTGCAATCTTACTAATGTAGTCACTAAACGTTTTGCAAAAATAGAATATTTTGCTTCAAAAGATGAGAATTCATTTTGGTCTAGATAACATGCAAATTGTCTACTGTCTAGTTGAAGATTTTGCATAGCATCTTAGCTACTTATTACCTTTGACAGACACCATGCGCTTCAACTAACCTGAGGGTTATGAACGGGACACGTCATTTTTCGAAGTTGAAATGCGACTGATGACACCTGATATATATCAGGCCGGACATCAGGGTCCGGCTCTAGGATATACCCTGAAAATCACAAAGAAAGAATAAATTAGTAAAATGACAGTTTCTTATGTGTAAGCTCCAAACATCATCGAATTACCCGGCTAGATAGTTAAGCAGTAGCAAACGGTATTAGTAATTATTCAAAATAATTCACAGCCTCTGATTGGTTAATAGCCATGTGTGAATCGTCATGTCCAAAGTGTGACGTCATAACGTGTGATATGACTTGTCAATAACAATGTTCACCTCATTCAATAATTGTTAAATATTATTGTTATATAGGTGCTGTGTATTTTAAATGTGATTGGTTCATTCGTAGTCACATGACTTTAAATAAATGCAATGTCTCCCGCCAGGGAAACAAGTGAAAAATTGTTGCCCGCATATTGTCATAACAAAGTTTTTTGAAATGAAATTGTTGTGTAACATGTATGTTTTTGTTTCTATATAAATAAACACTTAATGTTCGCTACACCTCGTCTTCGTCTCGGGAAACATTCAGACTCTTGAGAAAACAAAACTCACTATTTCCCTCGAGAGCATATACATTAAGTGTATAATATCAGTTCGAATAGTCAGACTTCAAAATCAAGAAGCAACTTACGTATAAGATTATGCATATCCTTGGAATATCTCGAGTTGTCTGGAATAGTGAACTGACCGTTTTGAATGGCAAGAACGCTCTCGCCAAACGGTACGGTAAAGAAACACAACTTGTACAGCAGACAGCCTAATGCCTGGAAGTAGAAAGTTTGACATTTTTATTTCAGTGCATTCAAATGGCACCACAATTCAGTGTCATCGAAGTGGAGGAGAGACGGTGAAAGACGGAAATTTTTTAATAAATTAGTTACCCATATGTCTGACTTTGTGTAAATAATCTTTCCGCTGTAAAGGTCCACCATTTCGGGTGCTCGATACGAGAGAGTTGTGAATCTAAGAAAATATAACGTAAATTCATTTCGCATTGGACCAGCATCCATTTCAACCTGCGAGGAATAATGTCTAAGCCGGGCAAATAATTGCTCAGTTTAGCCGGCAAAATACACTTAACATTTTGTAATAGAACATTTTGATTTGAAAACCCAGGAGTCAATATGAACCCACAAGTTATCTTAATTCCTGTACCGATCTCTGCCTTCCCTCTGACAATCCAGACTCTTAACAATTATATCATTTGGAAATAAAGACCCGATAAAATCTGGTATTTTCAAAAAGCCGAGGTAAGTTCAGAGATTAACCTATTAACTCAATTTATTGAAATCCAATTTAAAGTTTTTACACCGTAGCAGTAGCTATTTCACAATATACCAAACTAGAATTGCTGTGCATTTCACACGCAAAAAAATTAATGTCAAAAATCACCTTTGGATTTCGTCTTCTATTTCAGATAATTTGCCCTCCTAAAGAAAAAAATAAGCGTTTTTATTGAGGACAGTTAGCTTTACAGCTAAATAGGCTTCCAAAAAATATTTTAAACAATTCTTTATGCTTGAAATATCCTAACTTTCTTGCAGAAATCAATTAATATTTTGCGGTGCTTCACTCGATGTATACATAGGATTTTAGGATCTATTAAACAGGACCCGTCTGGCCGTTTTTACCATATAAAGTTAAGCGCTTGTAGTTTTTACATTTTTACACTATCAATGGTTGTATATTACTGCTATTCACTATTCAGGAATACTCAAAAAAGACTACAAATTGATTAGCATCAAATGTGGTATAACAACTGCCTAAATAGACAAAACACTTCTTGACGTTTCGACCAGAGGGCCTTCGTCAAGAGAGTTAGTATAGTCTTACTAAGGCTTACTAACTAAGAGAGTTAGTATAGTCTTACTAACTCTCCTGACGAAGGTCCTCAGGTCGAAACGTCGAGAAGTGTTTTGTCTATTTAGTCAGTTGTTATATCACATTTGATGCTAAGTTGTTTGAAGACGCTGCCACGTTGCTCCTTGGTTATATTGGAACTTATCTACAAATTGATTAGTCGATGAAACAGACAACTTCCTGTTTCATTGACCAATCGGAATTGCTAAAAATATAGAGAAATTCCGATTGTAGAGGTTTAAAGGGTCTTAATTTCGAGTGGAATTATACAAACTTCAAATTCAAGCCAGGAACAGTTGATGGAAAAATGAGTCAACTATAGGTCCTCCGGCAGGAATCGAACCTACGCTTTTGCGATGCCGGTGCAATGCTCTTGATAATACAAATGAACGTGACATTACCTTCGGGTCTATTGGTGTCGTCGAAGCACTGCCGTAATCACAAAGAACAAAATCTCCTTTTGAATTTCGCAAAATGTTTTCAACCTGGCAAAGTGAAACACTCAAAGCTTTAGCAAATAAACTAATAAAGGTATAGTAAACATCACGATTACACCAAGACTCTATTTAACCATATATCAAAATATTGAAACAAATATACAGTGGGGGTCAAAAGTCTGAGTCCAGTCAATATGATTTTGAATTTAATTTATATGCAATACATTGTCACTCAACACAGCACTATAAGTGCATACAATCGGTATTTACATGAACGTTAGAATTCGTTATATGATTTAGGTCAAGTTAACATCATTCTAATATTTTGTATGTCCTCCTCTTGCTTTTAAAACAGCTTTAACTCTATTTGGCATAGAGTGAACAAGTTTGTTTAGCACTGCTGGCTCAAGGTTATTCCAGTATGTATAGGAAGTTTTTGAGTTCATCCATTAAGATTACCTTCAAATCTCGATGCACAACTGGTGGCTCGGAATGGTGGAGGGTTGCGACAGCCTCGCAGACATCCGTGAATATCCTTAGGATAATATTTTCACCCAAACCAGTGTTCAGGTTATCATTCATAAGTTGAATTACATGACCATCTAAAATGATGAACAAAAGAACAATACAGCAATGTTTCATCACTTCAAATGCAGTTTTACCTTAATTCAAGGACACATACAGTATCTATGATGCACCTCAGTTATCAAAGTTATTGCAAACAGTTTTCCTATACTAAAGCCCCATTTTACACTACCCTCAATTTAAAATCAGACTTGGTATGGATGAAATTGGTATGGATGAAATTTGGAACTTCATCTATTTAGATAGTTTCAGTAAAGGCAAATCTTGGTATGGTACTTGATGTTGCGACTTGTGATGGTGCTACTCTGAGTTACCACATGAGCAACATAAAAATGAGCTTGATGGTGATTCCATCACATATGTGACAACACAATAATGTTTTTGCCATTTTCTTTATTTGCTATCTTTATTCTCTTTGCCATTTCAAAGCTCAATCAAGTCCATTCAATATCTGTCTCAAAGTTATTATGATTGTGCATATGACTCAGGTGAATCGATATTGTGGTGAGCGCAGATCATCTGAGCAGGGTATTATTTTAGAAATCGTTAGTGGGGGGATACGAACAGAATGCTTTAACTAGAAATTGGTAATTTAAAATGTGGGAACTGTGCTGTGCTGTTTGTGTATTTTTGAGTCTCTACGACTTGATTTCCTGCATTATGGGGGACACTTTCTGAGGAATCCATCCCAACAGAATGAAGTTTGTTAAGAGAAGGTCATTACTTTTCTTTGAATATGGTTATTTTGTAAATATTTACACTCAAAAGGGAACTTTACTGGTGGTGCAAAGCTGCCCTGGGGTAAGAGGGGCTTCTGCTCAGTTATATAGTTAAAAAGGCTTTGTATCTAAGTTACCAAATATCATACAACAAGCATTTGAATCATTTGCCCACCCATGTCCCCTTTCTGTTATTGAAATTGTTTAAATGAAACAGCCCCACCACTGAAGAATGTTGAAAAAACACACATGCAGAATACCATGCCAAAAGTGGGTTAACATTTTGAGATAAACACATCTATGAATATTAGTAAACGAAAATCCTACCTCGGCAATATTCCATCAGGATAAGCAACTCAAAGATGCCTGAGTTCACTTCAGTGACAGATGAATCAACGTATGTAATGATATTCTTGTGACATGACAACTTTTTCTAAAATAAAACAGAAATAATTGAATGTTATTGTCTATTATTATACATTATAGTAGTAAAAGCAGTTTGATTGGCTAATAGTTGACAGATAAATCGCACAATCACACAAAATTCAGTTATCTGCTAGCAGATAATCTGCAAGTGAGCCTGCGGTGGTTAACAAGCGGTATTCATTTGAATGTATTTATTTATTAATAATTGATGTATTTTTGGATGTTGCTATTAAATAAGGTTTTTCATTCGTCAATACTATGTTCACTATTCTTCAAATATATAATAAAACAATTGTTGAATTCTGTTTTTGTGATATATGCAAAGTTGTCAAGGTCTCGGTAAGCGTTATCATGCAGCCTTCTCCCTAGCCACGGATGATAACGTTTACCTCGACCTTGATACCTCTGCATATCACAAAAACCCCATCCAATAATTGTTTATTATGTTTACACAACTGGTTCACCAATGCTTGAACTTTTCTCAGTGAACTTGCCACAATGGGAGATAACCTAACATAAACTTGAGATAAGAATTAAATTTTCACGAACCATTATTGAGATTTCCAGCTTTCCAATGGCAAGGTCTTTTCTATTGTTTACTGAAATTCTTTTCAGTGCGTAGTGGCTGCCATTGCTTGCTCTGACAAGGAACACCAGCGAAAACCCACCTATAGCATGTCGCAAGAAAACAACCTGTTTACTTGCGGTAAGCAAGAGCGCAAGTAGAAAATGCAACTAAGTTTGTGCGTTTTAGTATATATTATGTTCAACTCAGAATATTTCACTTGTCTGTGAGGAAATACTGTCGGTTAAAAGGCTGATACAAATGTCCTTAAGACCATGGCATATGTTGAATGATTCTGAAAATCTGGTGACAAATATGCCTACATTTGTTCGACATGTTGAAATTTCTAATTTGAAAAGCCCATCTGAATTGTTATAACAGACTGTTTAATGTTTTATTGTCGGTTTAAAACTTAAATTGTAAAAAATTTGTGGCCATAAACACGATTATGGGTTTCAAGCATTTTGTAATCTTCAGCAAGACATGTCATATATATCCCTTGCTAACTTTTAGCTGGAAATACAATGTGACCGTAAAAATACAATGAAAAGTAGCCTACTTTGGTGTTGAATTCTGCCCAATAACAGAGCAATTTTACTTGTCAGTCAAAGGACTTGTTAAAATAATTGCACTTTAATTAATTAGTAATAGCTCTGGTAAGTTTATCTCAGCAGGCAGGATAACAAATTTGAAAACAGCGATTGGGATTAATGAGATCACATACACCACACAGCAAATGTATAGCCTGCTCATGTGAACCAAAGTTCGATCTAATTTATGAAGTAAAGGTTTCCAAATTGATTTCACTGTCACACGAGCTGATGATATTTTGAAACAAAGAGTTTGGGGTCTGTACAGTACTAAAATTTGAATATATGCATTAACAACACATTTACACACAAAATTCATCAAACAAAACTATAGCACTGTCCATCGCGGTATTTTCGAGTAGGATATCGATTATAACACGTCCACAGATGGATTTCGTTCGTAGCCAACAAAATTAGAACAATTTAAAGCATTAATTTCAACTTGCCATTCTAATATAGATCAACAATTCACAATATACTTTAAAAACATCAATATACCCAAGCGATCGGTAACGATATATTGTGCTTAAAAGATAACTAGGTAATGTAGCACACGTATATCGAAATATGAGAGAAAACTGACAAGGAAATCAAGCACATACCTTCGGCAATCTGGTCTTCAACGATACACTCGACTCGTCCAAAGCGGTACGTCTTGCCAACATACGGACTTGTTGGCCCCGATAAATTTTGTAAAAACCGTTTCATTTCTGCTTAAATACTGAGCTAAAGACTCATAAATGAATACCCTGGTTAAAAGCGACGAATCGAGACCTTCTAGGTCGAGAATATGGTCATTTTGACGGATTTTCTAACTCGAAATTAAAAACTTTACTAAAAGAGTTAAAAGGAAGAATCTGAGCACTTTCGTAATACTTGGTACCAGCCCACCAGGATTCCGTCCGCGCTTCAATCCCATGTTTTTATGGAGGTCAGTTGTTATGCAGCAGAGGGGCGACCTAATAAAATTGTATGAGGGGGGGAGGGAAGGGCTGCATGCCCCTAGACTGGAAAGAATTCGTGATAGGCTTGGGAATTTGTACCCGAAATTCGCACAAACTTGCTAAAATCGGTGAAATATCGTTGATATTCGAGAGACAAATCTTGCTGCAGTCAGCTCCCCGCCCCCCCACGTGCACTCCCCTACAAAATTTGCGATCTATAAGTCCATGTCACGACAACTAACTTGTTCATGGCTTGTGAACAGATTGGCAAAAAAGTATTTACCCTCGATTTCAGCTTGCTTTTGAAAAAAAGTATTTCTGTGTTAAGCCCCGTTTACACTGCACTAGATTAATTAGTACGGCACGGCTAAAATTGGTACGGGGTACCCGTGCACATTTTAGCTGTCCCCGGCCTTTGTTTTGGTAGCTTGGGCACTAATAAGATTGAGCACGGGTACCTCATCTTTTGTTTCCTCTGTTTTCTTGAGGGTAATAATGATCCAGCTAAATTATTTAGCCAATCTGGCAACCCTGGTTCTTGGTGTAATTATCTCAAAGGTGATATTTCGCCAAGGTGATATCACACCAGAAAACTTTCACACTCATTGACTGCGCGTTACATGCTGCGAACGTTAACAACCACAGATATAGAAAATTAGAAACTTCAACAACTGAGTGAAATATGTAATAAAATCGTTAACGGTTTACAAATTATTACAAATCTATACAAATTACAATAAATGCTGGCAACAGCCTATGATTAAATATCAAGCAGATATGTACTTGTGTGCACCAGACACTTTCTAAGTCATAATATCCTATTTCAACACTTGATATTAGTTCACTTGATAAAATTCAGCAACTGAGTGAAATATGTAATAAAACGGTTAACCGTTAACGATTTACAAATGACTACAAATCTATACAAATTACAATAATGCTGGCTGTAGTGTCTAGCCATTCGAACAAGACACAGATGCACACGGATTCAAACACTGAGCAGTTGTATTATAAAATGCCTCTTATTTATATACATCCAAGATTGCATATCTAATTATACCTAATTAACATCACACTGGCAATAGCCAATGATTAAATATTAAACATATATGTACCTGTGTGCACCAGGCACTTTCTTCAAGGCCCCATTTCACACTTTGCCGGCTTCTTTTCGGGGTGGGTCAAATTTTGCCGCTTTTAAAAGGCAGTAAAACAATTCAATGTCAGATATCGAAATAAATATACTAAATCTATCAAACTATAGTAAGCATTTGCTACAAGCCTACTAACCACTTCCCCTTAAAGGCAAACAAAGATATCCGTGACAAGTGAACCCGGTATTGTGCTTAAATGGGGCCAGTTTTCCTCTTTAACCGTATGTTTGTTTCAAAGTGATAATATGAGTGGACAGGAAAGAATGAGATACGCTACAAGGTCTTTTTAACGCCTGTTTTAAACATCGTGCTTCTCAAGTGTCAAACGCATTAAAAACCAAAACACGACTTTTGAAACACGCCTAAGACATATTGTTGTGTTGTTTCGTGACCTTCTTTTTCATGAACATCAGATGTCATTATCATAATATTATTCACATTTCACGCAAGTTTTTACAATTTTCCCGCTCGAGACTTTTTAAAAATATCTTCCTTCCCAGCTAAAAAAGGTCCTTGTAATGTAAATACTTCTTGTATTTCTGATATTTTTCTTTTTCATCAGCATCAGACGTTTTGACTATAATACAGTTACTATTAATTACTATAATTACTATCATTATTTCATAACCAGCACAATTACCATCAGCACCATCGTAGAGACCAGCACCATCACCAATATCATGGATGTGAACTATCACCACCAACATGACTATACAATCACCCCTACTATAATGAACATCTCAAACAACACCATTGGCATCAGTGACAATGTTTAAAGACTTGTTTCTTGCAGATGTATTGAAGATATCATCTTTGTTTTGTTTAACAAACTGTAACCCCAGTTAGGGAGGCAAGGGAGTGCTATCACTTGCCCAAGGTGAACTCCCAGACAAACGGAGGGAAGGAGGTGTCTTACTTCTCCATTCTAGACCAGCTCCAAGCAAAGTCTAGCCGCTTCCCCAAAACAATGTTCTTGATGATAGTTTTTCATGTTATTGTTCACTGAGTCCATTAAGAAATATCCTAACCGAAAAATCAATTCCAAAACATCTGTCGTTCATAACTAAGTCTTTATCAACTAAGTCTTCTACTATTGGTTTTCGTCCTCGTGTGAACGGGTTCATTTCAGTTATTTTTAAGAACAAAGATATTCGCATTTTATTTCCGCGAGACGATTTTATTCAGAAGAATTGCTACACGCGCAATTTTGTCCCACGAAGCAACCGCACTTCGCTTAATATCGTCCAACAAAGGATTTGATGGAATAGACAGTCGAAGAAACACCATATCGCCTTTTTTGTCAGGGAGAGCCAGCATGTCCTCTTTTGGGGAAAGTTGAATTGTTTGGCTTGACATAAAACTCCCGAAGTATGGTTGATAGGAAGTATTGAGAATAGCGCCAGAGTCCATGTCAAAAAATGCTATCAGGTGATTAGATAAAGTTAATACAATTCTAGTCTTGTGAATACAAAATGACCTCAAATAAGAAATGCGCTGGAATGCGAGAATTATATTTTGAGAATCACCAGTGTCCAGATCAATTATCTGACTCTTAGTGTCTTCCATGACTATTGCGACTTTGGAATCATTGCTGAAAATTACGACAGCTGATTCCTGGTTAAATCTTAAACGATCACGGAGATAAAAGACTTCATACGAAGTTGGGTTTTCGGTATTTCTTTTCCAAATATAACATTTATTCTTATTACAACCAGAGATAAAGCCACCACCAGGCGAGATTTCCACTTCCATCTCAGGCCCAATTCCAGGCAAATTGACCATTACAGGACCATGAGCATTTCTGACATCGAAAACTTTCACGGGTTCAAAGCATCCGAGACCAAAGCAGACAAAGCCTTCAGAAAAACCAACCTTTGGATGTAGGAAATAAGGCCACCGCATTAGCCTGCACAAGTTTTCAGAAACGTTCTCTAGCACAACGTCCTGACTGTGAGTAAACAAGATCTCTAAATTGTCATCTACCAGGTATCGCGTTAATTTGGGAATCTCGTCAAAAAATTCACTAATCACAAACAAGAAATCTTCCGACCACCAGCATAAAAACCTTGACCCGCATTGACTGATTTTGAAATGTTGTTCAACTTGACTAGTATAGACATTCCATACGTTGATATATCCATCTGAGTTGCAGGATGCAAGTCGAGAGCCGTCAGGAGAAAACGAACTCGAATAAACTTCCGTTGGACCGGACAGACAGGATTGCTCTCGTGTAGAAGCTAACGTCTTAAAGACAATTAGTTTTTCTTGAAATGAATAAAGCCACAGATTATCTTGTAAAGCTGTCATTTTGACTTGACGGAAGGCAAGAAAGGAATTATAGTAAGAATAGGCCAAAAAATGGTTCCAAGCGACAATCGCAGTCAAAAAAAATATTTTCTGTGACACTCGAATAACAAAATTTTTCCGAAGAAAAAATACACTCCACACCTTTGCAGATCCACGGACACGACATTATACATATTCTTTTATATTTGTTTCCATGAAATACGCCACTTGACCATATTTCTAAGTGTTTAAAATTTGGTTGCTCAAATCCCCGCTGAAAACATCGTTCACATTTCCCTCTCTTTAACACAACTGATTTCTGCCTTTTCCCGTGAGATAATTTTCGCTTATCACTTCTTTGCAATGTGATGGCGTTCCAAACACACAAAGAATAACCCGGATAAGATCGAGATTCTGAATTTCCAATAATAAATAACCCTGTGACGCTAAAAGAACACCAACCAACACGAAATCCAGCATAAAGTGACGACAGCATTTTTTGTTTAGCAACGTCCCATAGTTTAATGGTGTTTGAACCGTCGCTAGTCAGCAGTCTTTTGCCGTTAGGGGAAAATGCACAGGACAGGAACGTCTCTTCATTTCCAGGGAAAAATGGAACTTCCTTTCTTCTAGCAATGTTAAACGCCGTTTCCAGTTTACCAAATAATATGAGCGAATCGTCTGGAGAAAATGTGCAGCATGGAATTCTTTCCAATTTTGTTGAATAATTCATAATTTTAACTAAAGTTGGTAGGGATAACACACGGATAAAATTATCTATTCCAACTGCTACACTTTTCTCATCGTTAGATAAAGCAACAGCTCTAATATGATCAAAGCCAATGCGTTTCCAGAATGCAAGCGGCAAAACCGAGCCTCCGTAAAATTCGACTCGACAAAAGGTGAAACGTTTGATAGTAGCATCTCCGCGATTTTCTTCTCATCATCGCTGAAATAACCTTCTGGAGAACGGGTAAGAACCGCTTGTAAATACCATTGTGAAAATATGTTCGAAAAAAATTGAGTTTTTTTGTTGTAATATTTCTCCAGGGGTTGCAGGGCATGTCCCATAAACTCAAATTCAATGACATGGTATGAAATGCGGGCGCGTAACTCTTCGTTTTTAATCCAGGAACATTGCAGTAATTTGAACCAGAAACGCAGCAATTCACTCGAACCGATTACAGTTAATATATAACATACGATAATAACATCAACTGACCAAAACACACCTTCCTCCATTTCACACTTTTCTAGATGTTTTAAACCATGTTTCAGAGCGTATTTTACGTCATTAATAAACTTCACCTCAAGTCCTGAGCGAACACTTTCCACAATTTCTTTAAAAACCTTTTCACATAAAAGCCAAAGCGATCTATGTCCATTATCGACCTTGACAGTATACTGGTGATCTTTGTAGCCCTTTGCTAGAAGCCAATCAATAACGGATTTGTGAAAAACGGTTAACATGTCATCTGAAACG